CATGAGTGCCTGGAGAAATAGGTTAATGGATTTAAGAATTATTTTGTTTACCATAATAGTAGAGCAAGTTGATTCAAGATTGATAATTTCTTAAATTCTTGTGATTAACTGATGGTTCCATATTGCCATTTTTATAAATTCTTTATTTGTTCCTCTGAACATTATATTTTGGGATTACTTATGCAAAACAAAAAAAATAAATAAATCGAACTACAAAAAATTATTGTTACAACTGATCCCAAAATACCAACATGCCATTCACAAGAAAGATACTCAGTGAACCTGTCACAAAGCAGTAGTTACATGTCAATCTTGTAAAGCTATAAAGTTTGGTCTGGATTACAAGCAGTCTTGTATCAGGTCTCTGACAAAAAGACAAAGTTATTAATTCCACATGCAAATAAGGCAGATTATTTTCTGGTGAAATTTCATGAAGATCTGAATTTATTTTGTTCTAAATCAACAACTAGAAAATATACAAAGTGAAAAAATGTGTCATTAACAAGAAAGCTTCTTATAAAAATTACAGAATATCAATATTTCTCCTCCCTAAAAACAGCTACATACACTAAATACCAATTCTCCAACAATTTTAGAATAGTTCTTAAGGATACTGGTCACACTTGAAAAGAACACAATAATAATTTGTTTGCATTTTGATTCAATAATCATATGTATTACTATTGTATGTATATATCATTTAAATATCTGAGCTCACTTCCTTATCTGCTTGGACAAATAATACTGTTACTCTAAAATAACAAATGCTATAAAATATTCAATTTAACAATGGACTGTAATATTTACAACTGCAGCTTACAAGGCAAAAGTTAAAACTGTCCAACAGAAACGTATACTACAGAGCCATACATTTTCTTAACAAAGAGTAAAACTGAAAAATTTTACATGCAATTTTCATACACTGATTTGTGGCATGCTGATACAAATTATATCTCAAAAAAAAAAAAAAAAAAAAAAAAAAAAAAAAAAAAAAATTGTTATGAATAAAAGACAAAAGCAAACTATTTAATTTGTAATTTTTAATTTAATTTGATATTTACACATTCTATTTATATAAAGTTATGTAATTTCTAGTATTATTAGCTTTGAAAACACCAGGGATTATAAAATCTTTTTCAGACATATATTTAACAACGCAGAAAAAAAAGTGGAATGTGTACGTGTGTATGCAAACAAAAGTTAACAAACCGAAATAACAATGACTTAAGCAAAATTAAAATCTTTTTTTTAATAACAATTTGCTCTTTCAACTCAAAAAGGACAGGGATTTTTGCTTTCTTCAATTTCAGCTATAACTTTTTAATTTTTCTAATTTACTTGCAAACATTTTTAAAAGAGAAATTTAAAGTGCAAACAAATTAGAAATTGATCTAACAGTGAAAAAGTTTTTATTCATGCAATGTGTCCTAGCCACAAAAACACATAGCAAAAAAAAAAAAAAAAGCACCAATCAGTATCATTGCACCATTATTGCCAGTAACATTATCTTTCATTTTAGCAATAAATTCATTTCTAAGAAGCAAATATTCAAAAGGTTGTTCTCTACATTTAAAAAAAAAAAAAAAAAAAAAAAGAAAACTTGAAGGTAGTTTCTGTTAAAATATTACAAGAGTAAAACTACTTAAATTATGCAAGTAAAAAACAAGTAAATTACTTAAATACTTTTCTTTTAATGCCATTTTTCATTTTTATCAAACATGATTAATTTTAGATGTGATTCACTATTAACAATAGCATTATATAGAATAAACATAACAATATTAGAAACTATTATTATTATTATTATTATTGGTATTATCATAACCAAGTCAAAATTATTTGAAAGTGATATTATCAATTATCAAATTTTGATTTGTTAAAAACATTTGGTTTTAACATTAACTTGGAATTTTATTGAAATATGAAATTATTGGCATAGTGCATATATATATATATATATATATATATATATATATATATATATTTTTTTTTCCATAAAATTTTAGTTTTAAAATCTATTTATACTGGTTACTGTAGAGTTTACAAATTAAAATAAGGAATATTACCTAATTATAAAACTAACAAAAATTTCACTGTGTGTGTGTGTGTGTGTGTGTACATGTAATATTAACAATAGTTAACTGCTTGGAATTTAGTGCATAATGTGTATTGGAAATCTCAAGATGTTTAGAATTTTGTTATTGCCAGGAAGAAAAAAGAATTCTATCTTTGTGACATGACTTTTAAAAGTGCACAATGTTAAAAGAAACTAATCCAATTTCTTCAATAGAAAATATCTATTTAAATTATATTTAAATCTATTTAAATTATATTTAAATCTATTTAAATTATATTTAAATCTATTTAAATTATATTTAAATCTATTTAAATTATATTTAAATCTATTTAAATTATATTTAAATCTATTTAAATTATATTTAATTATATTTAAATCTATTTAAATTATACTAATTTAAAACAAAAAGATACATCAGTAAGTCATGCCTATTATTAATTTATAAGGTTGGTAACAATAAATGTGAACAAGATTGATTGCTTTTACGTATCTATAGGCCTATGAGAAGATTTATTTATTTATTCTTGTAAAAATTAATTTTAACAAAATACCATTCAAATTTACAATTCAACTATTCTGTAATTATAAATATGAAAAGAAACTAATACAAGTTATATTGATGATATTGTCTTCGAAAACAAAGCAGCTTATATAAAAGGCAATCGTATATATAGATGTGTCAGTATAAAAATAAGCAGTAAGCTGTAAATACTTGAACAGAGATTAAAAGGTTATCAAAGGTAACCCTGAACATCTCTTCCACTTATGCTTTTCAGTTGCTGTTGCTTTCTTCTTCTTCTTCTTCTTCTCTTCAAATAAGTGTCTAAATTGTTGATTTATTTTGTCAAAAAAATATAAATTACCTACAAATATGACTAATAGAAAACTAACATGTCTCCCTCTAAATTCTATCTTTTTATTCCATCACCATAAAGCCATTATTGTTGCCATCATAAAAATGAACAAGTGTACAAATGCAATCACTATAATCTGACATATCTGTGTGTGTGTGTGTTTTTTTGTATATTGTTAATAGAACTGTTCAATTTTTACAGAAATATATATTATAGATAAGTACAAACAACAAAGACTAATTATGAGTAGCAATCATGAGCACTTTTGCTATATGTTATAACAAAAAATAGATAAAATGAGTTCAAGGTTAAAATATTGATAAATTGATAAAAAAGATTTTAATAATTTTTGAAAACATTCAAGTGTTACAAACATGTGTAAAGGTTAACATCAAGCTGCATGAACTCTAATGTTTTCAGCAATTTACTTAAGAGCTTCTTCTAAGGAAAACACTGCAAAAGCCTTCTCCAAAATTTCATGAAAACTTAAATTTTCACTATAATTATAGGCTATTTATGCCAAGTGGTAACATTCTAAGTGATTAATAATATTTAAAAAAAATTATCAGTGGAATAGAAAATTTGTTTTTTTTTTTTTTCTAAACTCATTTCAGTGATCAGTTTATTATATATGATAAAATCTAAATAAGTTAAAATCTTTCAGTGTGTTTGTTGAAGGAGAGGCAATTGTTCACACTGACTGACACAACAGACTGAACATAAAATCAATAATTCATTTCATACCCAATTGAACAGGCATGGACAGTCAGGATCCTCAAGAGACAAGGTTATACTCCTACAAAATCTTTTAAAGACAAAAGGAAGTGGAAAAAACTACTTCATATAAACACACAAATCAGTTTATAAAAAAAACGAATCCTATTTTAAAAAGAATGTTTTTGTGAAGATGAGAAACTGTGGGGTCAATTATTAACACAATGTGGAAAAAAATAAAATACCACAATTGTTTTTTTTTGTTGTTGTTGTTTTAGAAAAAAAAATGGAAGGAAGAAATTAAAACAATGACAAGCAAAGTTAATATCACAGGCAATGCTAAAGAAATAAGGGTTCCATATACAGTAAAAGACAGGCAATACTTTGATAGCTTTAGGGATTAAAAAGAGAGAGAGAAATTCAGATATTCAAGCCTTTATGTATTCTGGAAGCATAGAATATATAGAGATAGTGAGTATTTCAAATTAAGAGAAATATTGATTTTAAACAAGCACCAGAAGAGAAGCAATAGCATTTTATAAAGAGAAAGGAAGAATTTTATTCAAGGCAAAAAGCCAAAATATGTAGTTGAAAGACCGAGAAGAAATAAGCAAAAGCCCATTTCAAAGAAGGCCGAGTGAGATGCAGAGAATCCTTTAGATACTCGACAGGGGAAAGGACGAAATAATCGGACTGATCTCATGATCGTTCAGTCAGTCATTTATACTGTTATACAATGGTTACAAAGTCCATGTGCTCTTTTCCTCAATGATATTTTGTTTTTCCTTTTTCAAATTGATGCAATAAAAGAGAGGATGGAAAAAATTTACATGAACCTTCCAAGAAAACCAAACAGCTTCCAGGATTTTAAAAGAAATTTCATGTGCACAAAAGGACAAGAACAAAGTACTACTGTATCTGCAGGGTTTAGGAAAATTCCACACAAGGAAACAAAATGAACTAAAAGCAATCAAAATATGAGAGTAGGCATGGAAAAGTAATTATAAACTCAAACAACCTACTTATCTAAATACCTATTTCTGTATGTTACCCCCACCCTATTTTCACAAGAAAAATGGCCATGGTCATTAGTGAAACAAGGAATATATAAGTGAAAATCTTGACCACATCATCATCTACAACAACTCCAAAAATCACTATTTAAGGACAGTAATTAAAAGAAAAATGCAGAGGCTGTGACATTTTAATGTTTGTTTCATTTTCTTAAGCTAATAACCAAAACATATTCTGTGTGGATAATATCTTGTGAATTGTTTTATATATATATAAAGTGATAAGTACATATTTTCATAACAAGAGACTACTCTTCCCATTTGTGTCTTTAAACTCCACAGCTATACATGATATATTCTTTTTTCAATTTCAGAGCAGCCTGGAAAAAAAAAAAAAAAAAAAATTAAAATTAAAATTAAAAATGATAAAAAACAAAAATAAAACAGCAAAATACACTCAAATTTGTCAAATAGAATATAAAACTCATTTTGCATGTGAGTATGTGCTTAAAACCATTTCACATATTAAAAATAAAACTAGAACAATCTAGTAAACAAGAATGCATTTATGACTTATTCAGACTAATATCTTCATATATTGAAAGCAAGACAGTGCTTCAGCACAGGCAAATATTACAGTCTTCTTGGTTATGGAAAGATACATGTATACATATTACTTTGTTGTTCTGAAATGTCAAAAATTTAGTCAAATTCTTTTTTGAAGACATGATACACTTGACAAAAACAAGAATTTACAGCCAAAACACATTAACAATGAAGAAAATAGTTGACAAATGGGACTTATCAAAATGAAAAAGAAAGAAAAAAATAACAGCCTATAGTAATACAAAGTAAGGTTTGGGCTATAGACTTGGGTCTGGATTTCTTTTTTTAATCCAAATATAACAATGAAAGTTTCAAAACTACTTTTCTATTATTTTCATTTTTGGCAATTTGCCAGCCAATAATCTAAAATATCTTAAATATATGCCATTTTCATCAAAATTTAAGAGTTATAGTCATTATTAATAAACACATTTGATATTAAATGAAACATTTATAGTTTTGAATTATTCTTCATTTCTGTAGAGTACCCAAGAACCAAAAATTCCATATTTTTTTTTTTTTTTTAACAATAATGTTCACAAGGCCCAAGAACCATTCGAAGTAGACTGTTACAGTGAATATATATATATATATATATATATATATATATATATTCAAAATCAGAGAAAGAACACATGGAGCAAAAATCCACTGTTCATAGCATTTACTTTAAAAAAAAAAAAAATGCTCAATACAAAGTAGAGCAATATATTATTATATTATAAAAAAAAAAATTTTTCTTTAAATTTTTTTCTGTTAACTTTACATCTGATTAACCTACCCCTCCCTTCAACAAATTAAACATCATATTTGTTTACAATCACAATAAATTTGTCACTGGCAAATTTTCCGCAATCATCAATGATGACATGTCTATCTCCAAGTTTTTCATGACATGATGAAATAAATCCCCCCCACCTCCACTCTCTGGGCTTACTTTCCTATTTAGCATAGATCTTACATTTAACTGGTTAATCAAGACATACCCATAAGTCTATTTTTAATTCTAACCATATGTCCCCGACCATTAACTCTCGAGGTTTCTTATACGCCATCAAATGCAGAATTGATAAATTAGCTGCTCTGTGTTGATTTCTTCAAAACTGACAGTTTCCATTGCCCAAAACAACTGTCCAATTCTGAGAAAAAAATATTTAAAAAGAAAACAAAAGAGATTTTCAGAAACAAAAAAAAAAAAAAAAAAAAAAAACTCTCCATAATCTTTATTCATAGGTTGTCACATATTTTACAAATTCAGACAATTTTGTTAAATAATGTCTTTGCTTGATGTAACAAATAATAATATAAAAAAGTTTTGTTTTTTTTTTCTTCACTTACCTCTATTTGATGGGAGGGTCGTAAATTTGCTGATTGTGTTGTTTTGTGGGTGCTTTAAATAGTCCAATTTTGTGCTGCCTATCGTAGGTAAAGTAGAATATTTCTGATGGTCATCCTCTTCCTGAAAAATAGAGATATTCCTAAGTAAAGCATATAAATGCAAATAAATTCCCTTTGAGACATCATGTATTTGTAATGCTAAAATGAAATGAAAGACCTAGAGATTTCAGGTTCTACCCAAAACAAGATGGATGGCACATACTCTGCTAGTAAAGATAAAATATATTTTTTCGCTCTCCCAGATAAATAGTCACTCCCATTGCATCTATAGTACTTAACTTTATAATAGGATTTAACTGGAGTCAATTTTACCACATGACTTCCAGTTATCTATAAAACTTAGATATTCACATAATTTTGAAAATTATTTATGTTTAAAAGAAACTCCAGACAATGTGTAGCATCAGTGTTTGTGTGAACTTTCCACTTCCTAAGATATAAACATCTAAAGACTAATTAAATAGAAATAAAATTTTCACTTACTGAGTCAATTCATTCATGACAGATTAATATTAGGCTCCTAAAATGTTTCAAGCTTATGGATAAATGACAAAGCAGGTAAGAAAATAATTTGATATTTTTATTAGTAAATGATAGAATGTTTTTGGCTGATGCATTCAATTTGCACTAAAGTTAAAGGGAAAAGGTATGAATCTCCTTGACCATAAGGTAAACAATATAAGGGCAGATTGGTCTTGCTAAAGTCTTAGTAGAGGAAACCTTAATGGACAACTCTGAATCCGAAACTATCGAGTGGACAAAAAAATAAATACTCCCCATCTTTCCCAAAATGACATGGCAATTAACAGATATATTAGAAAAGGAAGCTATGAAGAGATGTAGCCGCCTATGTCCTGAAAAGCCATGTCTTTTTGAAAAAGTGAAACATAAACTAAAATCATTTAATGAGTCAAAAGAGTGGAATTAATTATCAGGGAGGTTTTATGTCTAAGAGGATCAGAAGATTTACTTAAGAAAAAAAAAAAAATTACATCCTCGCCACTCACGTCTATTAGGCACTCAAGAAAAGTAAATGCAAAAATACAAAAATTCAATGATAAAATTCCAAATGGAAAATGATATCCATTCTGCTCCATTTTATATTAATTATGTAAGATGTTTTTATAAAATGCATAAACTTTCAATGTTAAAAGACATTTTAATACTGAAAGTGACAAGTAATTTATTTACAACAATTAAAAATTTAGTGACAGAATTCAAATATTAGAAAAGAGCAGTCAACAAAATCAGAAAAACTGCTCTCTGAAACAAACAACATTACTTAGCATTTCCTTACATTTAAATGAAAAATTCTACCCTATACTCTTGATGACCACTGACAGATGTGTTTTAACTCTGGCAGCTAAATCTATCAGTGGTCTACAATTCATATAGATTATTTTTATCACTTCAGCCATTATTGAATCCAGGCCATCAGCCAACAATTTTATCATTTCTTCAATTATCCATTTTTGTTTGGCTTTTATTTTTATTACTGATTCTTTAGTCACTAGTAAAAGTGAATGTAATATAGAATTAATTCCACATTATTTGCAATGGCGCAACATTAATTAAATAACACCAGCCTATCCCATGACTTCTCAAAAATTAAGATCAAACTCTTAGTAACAACAGAAAAATAATAAACAAAATGATAAAAAAGAAAAAATTAGTTCCAATCAAGACTCAATATTCTTGCATCATTCCAACACCAAACATTATGTTGAGCTTTGCTTAGTTGCTGTTTATCAACCACAGACTTCAAACAAGGAAGAGTTAATCAAACCTCAGAAGCAATCTCCATTCTCCTTGATATCAATCTGGATTAAGCACATGTTGGAAAATGCAGTTGAAGTGAACTACAGTGAAGCAGACAGGAAATATCAAACTCCAGTATGAAAGCAAACCACTTTTTTTCATACTTTAATGACAAAATGAATTTTGTATTAAGAGATGATGGATAAGTTTAAAACACTGCTTTAAAAAAAAAAAAAAAAAAAAAAAATGAAGCATGCAAAGCTGATGCAGTAGAATTATTTATAAAATGCAAAGCAGTAATAGAAAGGAGATGCAGAAAAGCAAGAGAAATAGCATTTACTTGATAATTCAAAAAATTAACTATTACACCAATTAATCAACTGTACTCCATCTCATTTCACCTTGGCATGAAAGGGAAAAAACATTTAACCCAGATTACTGATCCCAAGCATGGACTTTAAACAACATATTTTTGGTTACAATTTTTTCTTAAATCACATCAAAAACACATATGAATATTTTGCAAATGATATTGCTTTCCTTTCAACTCTTTTTACTTTAAGACAAATATCAAATAATCATGAAGTCCAAACAGTATGAAGCATGAATAGTAAAGTGACAGTAACTTCAGACCTAGCATATACAAGAGGCTCCAAAAGTAATGCCTCCTACATTATGTTAGCAGTAGACCAGGGCAGGTGCAAGGGTTTTGTGCCCTCCACCTCCAATCTATGAGGGGCAGGCACTCTACACCATCTCAATTTTCATAAGGTAGTATTTATATAAAATAAAAAATTTTCTTGTAACATATTTACATACAATAATGGATCATATGCAATATAGGTGAACAAATGAACTAGAAAACTGTCTATATTTCTATAATGTTTTTTTAAGACTTAGCATGAGCAAAACGAATTCACAGATTTGGACAAAAAAAGGGGGGGCGGTTGCCTAGAATGACGTCAAAATTTGCAAAGATTTCTCATCCTCAGTTGAATATAAATGTAAGTAGAAAAAAAAGAAAATGTTGACAAGATCATGAGGGTCACAAAGCACTGCCCAGGATTCCCAATCAGCAGCCCTTTTTCTAGTAGACATTGAGCCTACTTGTCAATAATTTATTTTTATTTATTTTTTTTTTTTTTTTTTGTGACAGGTAGCAGTTGAGCAGCAGTTAGGCAAAATGGCATCTGACAAGAAAGTGCAGAGATGTATCATTGAATCCTTCTATATGGAAAAAAAACTGCAACATTCATCAACACTTACTGCACAGTTACAGAAACCAAAGAGTGAATGTGAACACAGTTAGGCAATGGTTATTTTGTTTTAGAAATGATGTCAGCAATGCATGTGACAAGTCCCTGCCAAGCTAATGAATGAGATTACACAGATAACACTTTCCTGAAAGCATTATCACTTATGACAAAAATGGAAGACTGTATTTTATAACTGAAAACTTGCTCTATCCAACAGTGTTATTGTGTTCCCTGGATCTGTTGGTTTCCATGAAAATAAACAGGAGGCATTACTTTTGGAGCATCTCTAATATTACTCCCAAAAGAAATCATCCAAATGTATTATTAAAATGATTATTTATCTTTATTTTAAAATAACTTCTACAGATTGTGACTTTAGTTCATTACAAACTTTTAAAGAGTACTTCTACAGTCACAGACATTACCAAATTCTTTAAAATGTTAGAAGCATTCAACTTCAGCTTTCACTAATTTCATGGTGCATCATTTAATACTTGTTTACAAAATCAATGAAAAATGCAAAAATGAGAATAATTACAAAATGGCTTAATTGAAATACCACACACCATTTCAAGAATATCACATGCAAGTTTGATATAAAGACACACATTAAAATATAAAGCATTCCTTTAGTTAATAAAAAAAGTAAATTTTAAAAATAGGAAAACCAGGAAGAAGACAGATAGAGAAACAGATTAGTATTTGAAAATAAATAAGTGAAAAATAGATAAGAATTGTCTAATAATCTTACAGTAAGATAAAAAAGAAGACCATTTCACAACTATGCAACGGTTATTAAATTTGTTATCATGATCTGCAGAAAAGGTGTAAACATAATTCAGCCAAAATATTTCACCAACATGCTTAATGAATGTGAATGCAAATGAGTTTTTATTCCTTTTTTATATCTTTTTGTTGTTGTTGTTGTTGTTTCAAAATAACATTAGATAACAATGTGGCAATGGATTAAAGACAATTAATCAAAATGAAAGTTTGTTACATTTCTCAACACAGAACTGATGCTTGAAATAGTTCTGAAAATTCATCAAATAACTATGTCTAAAAACTGGATACTGCTTCCAAATATAAGATTTTCTTTAAACAAATAATTCCAATAAATTCAGAACTAATAAATTTTAAAGTGCTCCTTATAGTCTTTAAGATAAAAATATTTGGTTAGCAGAGAATAGTTAGCAAGATACATTTCCATCCTGCAAACAAAATGGCAATGTATCCTTAGTAACATTGCCACAGAATGATGTTAAAGAAGTAAATGGGCAAAGTCAGTATTAGTGAAATAATCATATAACAGAAGGTTAGAAAAAGAAGAGAAGTTGAAATAATGATGATCAACATCATCCCCTATTAAATAAGAGTTTCCACACAACAGCTAGAGGGAAAGACTCACCGTGGTGGTATAGTCATCCAGACTTATACTGTCACTATCGTTACCTAGAGAATGGGTTTGTTCCGTGATGTTGTTCAGAGGAGAGTCAATATCCTTCAAGTAAAAAAAAATAAATCAAGGACACTTGCAAGAGAGTAATATTTATGGTCATTGCACTCATTCTTACTATGCCATCAACAGTAACAGCTTTGTTAGCAGGCAGGAAAAGGAATTAAAAAAAAAAAAAAAACTTTAAAAAAAAAAAAACTTTAAAAAAAAAAAAACTTTAAAAAAAAAAACTTTTAAAAATAAAAACTTTAAAAAAAAAAAAATTTAAAAAAAAAAAACTTTAAAAAAAAAAAAAAACTTAAAAAAAAAAAACTTTAAAAAAAAAAAAAATTAAAAAAAAAAAACTTAAAAAAAAAAAACTTTTAAAAAAAACTTAAAAAAAAAAAAAAATTAAAAAAAAAAAACTTAAGAAAAAAAAATTAATTTTTTCATAATATACATAATGCTAATTCATAAGTAAATTTTCATGTCCAATTTTGTTAAAAAAAAATTATTTTGAGGTTGAAACATGTAATGTCGTACAAGGAATAAAAGTTTCTTCTTTGCCTTATATTCAACAAAGAAATGAACAAACATCTACAGTGTTGTTTAATAAATTAATGCCAAATTTTGAAATGCATATGTCAGGGTGAAAGGTATATGAAAAGGTTAAGCCAACTTCAAGTACTTCGTTTTGGTGTGTTCAATTTTCCAGTTATAAGCAAGAAGAAAGATTTAAGATAAAAGAAAAATCATTATTAGCCAAGAGACAAGGTCAGGGCATTTCCAAAATGTTATGATGTGTGGAGTGATCACATTCATTTATAGCTGTTATCTGCTAGAAGTGGTTCAAAGAGGGAAACAAATCATCAACTACTGAGAAATCATTGGGTGATCAAGACTTATCAATGCAACAAATGAATTGAGGCTTTCTCATCAAGTCTGAGCCAACAGGGAAAAAAAAAAACTATTTTGATGTAAATTGCAAACAGCTTTTATTAAAGTGAAAGAAGATATGCATCACAACACACAGTATATCAATCATTCTTATGTGTGGAACCATAGCTGCAGGACAATCATAGTAGCCATACTAACCAATTTCCACCACAGAAAGCATCTTCAATGGGCATGTAAACATTGGAATTGTCTCAATAGAAAAGATCACATGATCCAGTGATTCTTACATTCTTATGAATAAGGCAGATAGCAGAGTGTGTGCATGTGTGTCCTTATCCTGGGAAAGTGACTGCACCAGAATGCACACTTAGAATAACAGCAATGGAAGCAATGTAATGCTGTGAGCAACATTATGTTGAAAAACACTGAGTTCATGTGTAAGTTACTTTGTCATATGCTATGGACTTCAACACCATTGAAAACCAACACCTTATTACAAAGTTTATTACAATAATTTGGTTTATATATAACTGACTTTATATTTTTGGTTGTTATTGTCATTTAGTGTTGGTTTAAAAGATTTTCTACAAATTATAGATATAAATTATTGAATTTAAAATTTTTACAAGTATTTTTTTTTTTAATTCCTGATACCTGTACGATAATGTATTTTAATCCAGAAGCCAACGTCAGATTTAGGTATCATGTTATTTAGTTAATAACGGATGTTTTTTTTTTTTTTTTCAATCATAAATCACTGATCAATGATGTTTTTTCCAAACATCAATAGAATTTACATTATTAAATAGCAGATTCATTCATAAAAATTAAATTTGAATTATATTTTAATGGTGTATTTCCATTTTTTATCTATTAAAACAAAAAAATTATAGAAGTTTGAGAAAATAGGAACAAGTGCACTGCAATACAATGTTGCAAATAACTGCTCCAGTGTGTATGAAATTTGGAAATAAGTGAGCAAGTGCTTTTGTAGTTAATTACTAATTACATAGTGAAAATGTGAGGGTGAAGCATGATATATGAGCAGTGCCAAAACATTATTGGCTAAATTCACTTCCAAAACTGACCAAATGACCATTTTTGGGGGGAGGGTGGGTCTTTTTGGTCAAACCAAGAACTTTTCAACACTTCCTCATAATTAAGCTTGTAAAATATTTCCCAAAATAATAGAAAGCAAATGTGTCACAGAATATTAAACAGGAACTTCACACCACAAAAAATATTTTAAAGTGTTTTTGTAGGAATTTTTAAATAAATATTAGTATACACTGATTTCCTTCAACCTTTTGTTATCATTTTCAGACACAATGTTTCAACTATTATATCCTCTAGTATTCTTCATATATTCAAAAAACCTTATTACATGAATCACATACAACATCAATAGTCTACAATAAAAAAAAAAAAAACAGGATTACACGGAGACATTTTTTTTTCTTGTTCAGGTCACCAACAATACATTGCAGCCATCTATATAATAAATGCAAATGTCAGCGTCACATTTTTCCAACTTTACTCCTAGAGGCTGAAGCCCAGCATATACCATTTTGAAATCAGGCTGACTCCATGAGCAAATTATTCCAGGCTAGATCCAGACCCAGAATACTGAAATTTTTGGTTCACAAGTTTTCATTACTGCGATTGTTTTTGGATTCTGACATGTTGGCTTCTACTGATAAAAACAATTAAAAGGGACACAACTCTCTAACTTTCAATAGCTCATGTTCAAATGAAAAAGTTACTGTTCTCATATTACAGTGTTTCAAAATAAAATTATCCAAGTTTTTAACTTTACTCCTAGAGGCTATAGCCCAATATATCATACCATTTTGGAATCAGGCCAGCTCTATGAACAAATTAAAAACATTCTAGGCCAGATCTGAACATGCAATTCTGAAATTATGGATTCACAAGTTTTCATTACTGTGATTTTTTGCGACAAATCTTTTTGTACAATAACAATCTTTATAACTTGGAAATAAATTTGAGAATAATCCAACAAAAGTCAGCCATGAAATAAAAATAATTGTTTGTATGAAAAGTAAGGACCTACTTACATCAAGCTGTCTTTAAATTAAGTGGTGACAGAAAATTATCGTTGAACTTTTAAAAAGTAAGCTTAAATATTGATGGAATACTTAAATGTAGTGATCAGTTTTGAGTTCTTCTGTAGTTTGTTGCCTATCACATCTACTCTTCCCTACCTATTGTGATGAAGGCCCAATCCTCCACAGGAGCTAGCTTAAATGCAGCCTTACTCCTATGGCATCCTTCTGGAAGAGTCTTCTCACAAAAATTGACTTTCCCAGACACCATAGCTCAAAAGTCAGGTGAGGACTTTGGGGACAGCAATAAATGCCTGACTAGTGTGGAAAGGAATTGTCAATGGAGTTCCAACCAACCATGGGTGGGGGGAGGTTGAAGGATGACGATGAAATCCAGCCTGACAGGGCGGCTTTTAAGCTAGTTTAAAATAAATGGATGAAAATAAACATCTTCAAATTCCAAATTTGAAGTAGACTTTGTTCGTCTTTCTCATAAGAATCGCAGTCCAAGCCATTTTTTTGTATTTCTTCCGTTTTCTGGATTTCTCATCTCAGTGTCAATCCTCTTGACATTGTCTTGCTGCTGACACAATATATCAGGTTTTAAACAGAAGAATGACGTTGATATTATACAAGTGTTCATTAACACTTAATTATCAAATCCAAACAGACTTGGAGCTTTTATATTTACTCAAAAGAAACTTGCTAAAGAGCATGTGATTAATAAGTTTTTTTATAGCCATCCCTGGAATGTCTAAATAATTATCCAAGGAGAAATTCTGGAAGAAAAAGTATTTTAAAGTAACAGCAAAGCATTTTTTATCAGCATGATTAATCCTTAGACTTTAATTTGGACGTCATTGCTGACTCAGAAGAACTTTGAAATATGAACCAATTTAAATACAAGTTGCACATTATATAATCTTTCCTTTTCCCAACATTTACTCTATTAAATCTATAATAATTAAGCAAAATAGACTAATTAGCCAAACATCAAGAGTATAAACAATATCATTTATCATAAACATATTTCAAAGCTTTAAAAGTTCATTAAAACATGCCATTCCTGTTGTATATATATATCATAATTATATCAAACCATCATGGTATAGTAATACTAGTAGAAGTTATCTTTTCAAGGATGGAAGAGATCAATGGAAATAGTAAAAGGCTGCATTATCATAATCTGGATTCATGCACATTAAAAGGAGAGGCAGGGTAGTAAAGAACAGAAAATGAATTGTAACATTCAATTGAAAATGCCAAGTGGTAGAATACAATGCCTTCATGCATTTCATAACCTTTCAATTAATGGACAATGTATAGATTGTCTGTTACATGGTAAAATCACTTTATCAATTTCATTTTTTTTTTTTCTAAAAAACAAAAAGTCAATAAAGTACATTTGAAACAGGCTATGTCAGTCAGTCTTGACCAAAATAAAAAAAAATATTAAAAATATTCTATGTCATGACCACAAGTCAAATATAAGGGGAAAAAAAAAATTTACACTGACAGTAAAACAGAATTATGTTATATCTGCTTCTTCAGTCTGCTGTTAAATTCCATTAATTTAACAAAATAAAAAAATAAAAAATAAAAAATAGAAATTTTAAATATCAAAGTTTTTACTTTTCCAGTTTTAGTAATTCTGAATTCAAACTATATTTATTTAATAAAGCCTAGATTAATTTTGGAACAAGACCACAAATATGGGGCACCCAATGATGATCTGCAAGATTTGCTTAAATATTAAAGATTCTGTTATCAAGGTATTTGGTAATGACTTACTTCCCTTGGACTATTTCAGATGAACTCAAGGACATTAACTCTGGCTGCAGTTCTTTTTATTTATTTATTTAACCCCCTCCCCCACATACTCACATCCCTCCCATCCAAAATGAGTATTCATTATAGGTTAAGAAAAAAAATGTGTAAATAATAACTTCGTTATAGCGAAATGGACTACCAAAACAGAGGCATAACCTGAAAACAGATGGAAAATTTGATGAGCTTTCCTCTTTGGTACCTAGACTTTATGAATTTAAGCCTATTTGGGGGGGGGCATGGTCTCATAACTTTAAAGTTGAAATGACTAGAGATAACCCTGAGTTCTATGCTAACAGTTTCTTTTCTCACACTTGCAGAACTCTCTTTAGGCTTTTTGATTTCCAGTTAGGTTTGATATTTTAAAATGTAAATGTAATGTCAATCATTATCTACTGTCTTCTTAATTCCTGTTCTTTGCTTTCACTTTTAGTAATGTTTTCTTTTTATCATACTCTCTTACTCCTTGCATTTTAGTGGCTTTATTTCCTTGCTTGAGGTGAAAAAATTAAAAAAAATATAATGTGAAAATAGAGGAATTCAATGAAATGATTCATTACTCAAAATATGATATTCAAAACTAAAAGATTAAAAGAAAAGAAAAACGAATTCTGCAGATTTATCTGCCAATCCTTGACTGTTATTTAACTATTTGGAAGCAGCTAATGAAATTTCTAGTGGGAAATTTCATTATCCTGAGTTTTCTTATTCTGGCAGTGAATCAAATAGTTATTCAAGATCATTCATAAATGATGAAAGCTATAAAAGCAATAATTATCCTTAAGTGGTTGATGATATATTTAACCAAAATAACATCACACAAAATATCCAAGTTTTTAAGTCATTGTATTCCAACAGACAATTTACTTATTTCCAAATAAAGTGTGATTTTCTCAAAAATCTACAACTATCACTGTACTCCCCACCCACAATGCTATTTAACATCAGATTAAAATTAATTAACAGTAGCAACAGGTTGAGTTTCAGGAGTAAGTATTTTTCAGATAATGAGTTTTTCTTTGTTATAGCTAAAATCATAGAAAATGTGACCTCATGCAGAATAACAACAATCTAGAAAAATATTTAAACTATGTTTAAAAATATTTGTTATTCTTCTGCATATCTAAATAGGAACATTTAGAATACAGTCAATGGTATGCTTATTAGCTTTTTTAAGACATAACAAGGAGGCAGGGTTGAGTAATGAATAGTGGCTCGGATTGAGGAATCAGAGAGCCGAGTTCAAATTCCAGTCAAATCCATTACATTCACTTATTTGCTAATACCCTTGGGAAAGGTATGAATCCTCTTCTCCCCCCAGCTATGGATAAATAGCAAGACAGACCAATTTCTACAGCCTTGGATGGCAACTGGTCTACCGCAGAAAGAAATGGCAACCACCTGCAGGAAAAAATCTGCTTCGTCAGTCATGTATCAAAAGATACATGATTGCCTACATGTGTATCACGCATGGCACATGCTGACTGAAGACATAACAATTTCCTACATAACATGTCTGAAAGCACGTGTGATACCTTACCCTTGTCAGCTGCCAACCAGAGGAGGTAACATAGTTTTGGTGACTAAGGCAATACTGCTACTCCTGGCGCCATTAGACAGGGCATCGTTTTTGTAGACATGTCAGTCTCTTGCAATTTCTTTTTACAACTGCAACTGAGATTTTCAACATTGTGTTAAAAGCATTTGTTTTTGATTGTTAACCAATGCACAACACACTTGTAGCAAAACTTTTCAATGACATAAAATGGAAGGTAAACAGATGTGTTTCACGTCAGAAGTAACATTCTGTTGCGAGCATTCACTTTTTTTTTTTTTTATTTTGGATCTTCACCAGATCCAACTCGATGCTTGTTGAGCTGTGGTCTGGAGACAATGTGCAGAATGCTTCAGGTTCCAGCCAGTGATGCCCACCTCCAAAAGGAAGGAAATAACTGACTGTCCAAAGAATCCAACAGTACTGGATCTCAATAGATAGCACATAACATGCCCACCCCTTTTCCATGCAGTTGAATCATGGTGATTTGTAGCAATTTTTTTTTTCTTTCACTAGTGTGCCTCCTCCCTGTTCTCCTCCCATGGAACCATTAAGTCTAATAAGAGGACACACTTTTTTTCTTTTAATCAGATCACGCTACAATGTTAGAGTGTGCATACTAACACCTTCAAATCACAGGCTTCACTCAGTAGTATCATGTTCGGAGTTATTTGGGTGTTCACCTTCCTTGTGAAAATGGATCTTAGGTTCTCTGTGCATAACAGGCTGTTTGCTGGCTGCTTCACATTGTGTACTGACTATGTCTATGACCACTTCCAGCATTTTGTTATGATGCCACGTGTATATCTGCATAGATTGTGGGCATGCAGAGAGTATGTGATGTAAAGTGCCACGATCACTTTGACATAATGTGCATATACTGGTGTCAGTGTAACCCCACAGATTGAGATTGGTCACATTTGGTAGGGGATCATAGGTAGATTGCAGGAGGAATGTTATTGCCAATGGCTCTCTTGCAATCGGAATATTCCATGATAGCTTCATTGAATCAATGTCACTCTCCCAAGTCTTATTTAAACATTTCATCAGTCTTATCAGTAAAAGTTAAATATCTTCTACACACCATGTCCCTTTTTAAATAATTTAAAACAACCATCTATAATAGAATATTTAAAATAGTTATGCACTCAAAGGCAAAGTACTATCAACAATTGATTCTTATATAAAGATAGAGTTATAGCTTGTTTAATAGATGTTTAAAGTTGCACTGTGAATTCCTTAACAGATACAATGAGTCAGACAATGGCACATTAAGTTAAAACACAAGAGAGAAATGCTTTTATTAAAGATCTAAATTTCATCTTGCAAGATAATACTGATTTCGTGTGCATTATTTTCTTGAAATTCAGAAAATGAGTAAAAAAAAAAAAAAGTATTTTGCACTATAACACTGAACAGAAATTGGACAGACAACAAACATTTGGGTTTAGTTTATAAACATTGCAACAATCCACATGCATTTTGAAATATGAGTCTCTAATTTTTACTCATTTTACAATCATCTCAAGAAGAAGTTAAAAATTAAAGATAATTTATATAAATTATACATTACACATCACATCAACATTTAAGGATTTCAATAAAAATTCATTACAATTCAATCCAACATAATAACAAAAAGTACTTAAAATTCTTACTAGTTTATTTTTTTTCTTTTTGTGTGTGTGTGTGGGGGGTGCAATTGAAAAGTCAACAGCAATCTTGTGCATCTCATTTTACACCACAATGAGTGCAACAAGAATAATTGTACAATGCCCTAATTTAATAACCTTTAATAATCTGCAGCTGAGGTCATAAGTTTAACTCATAGAATTGATGCAGGACATAAAAAGTTGATTAAACAAGGGTTGTCTTTTTGAAAAGACCACAATTATTGCAATCATTTAAACTCCCAACAAGAGTTGTCTGCCAATTATGTATGTGACCAGTTCTGTGAATTTAATTCTATACTAAATTTAAGTCTATGTACAACTTCAACACAACTTTCTGGTTAAACATTTTTCTAATAATGTTTCTTCTCATTTGTTCAAACAGACAATTCTTTGAAGTTTATACCCACAGTGAGGCATTGAACATTGTCAATTACAAATGATTGATGTGAATTCTAAATGGAGTACATAATCATAAGAGATTTTCTGTGCCTAATGTGACAAGAATATGATCAAAATGTTTGATGATTGAACAGAGTAAAGGAAAAGTTGGGTGCATGCCTTTCACTAAAGGCTGCTAATCATCACAATTCACACTTCTAACATGTATCATCTTGACCAAATAAAAGAAATCAATTTATATAAAACAAATGCGAAAACTACAGATAATTGAAAAGAAATTATCCCAGCATAAAAAATAAGTACATTTACATAATTACATTTTATACATGCTTAACATCATTCAGCACTTCAAAAAAATGTTGTCTTCTGTAAAAAATAAGTTCCCAGTGATATAACATGTTATCTACCTTGGAAGACCTATTTTTGACAGTTCTCCAAAATCATTAACTCCATCACATAACCTTTACTTCAAAATGGTTAAAAAAAAAAAAAAATTTTAAATTTATAAAATAAAATAAGGAGGTGGGGGAATTAAACAATTAATTTTAAAACTTTCCTAAATATTAATCATATTAACAATAACCAACCTTCAGATCCAAATTGGTTTTAACATTATATAAAGACTAAAATCAACAAGTTAACCAATGCCCAATAAGAAATGCCCTGATTGGTAATTATATAAATATAAATCACTAACTCATAAGATTTAATCAGACATTAGCCTAATTCACAGTGGTCCTATTCAAAACATAGCTATTCATATTATGTTCATTATAACGTTTCCAGGGTAGATGATCGATCTGTTTTTTTGGGGTTTTTTTTTTTTTTTTGTTGGTTATTTAAAGCCAGAAAATATCTTTAGATTGTGAGCATTTGGGGAAGGGGGTGATAATAGTGATTTACTGATACAAATCCTACCAATTAACCCATAGGTGGAGGGAGGTAGAATCATATTTTCCCCAAGAGTATTTGAGTGTAAATGAATATAACAAACCAGACTGGATTTGAAAGTTTGTTCATACAGTGACGTAAAAAATGTAATGAAACTTTGATGAGTATGTGGAAAAGAATCATAGGTTATCAGTTTCTCTCTTTAGCTGCTTGTAGGCAGAAATTAATTCAAATAGATATTCGTATTCTGAGTAAAGTAAATCTAATGATTTCCTGCCTTATGATTTCTTTAACTTCATTAGCGCCAAAATATGAATTACTTCCCTTTAAATGGCAACCGCAGTAGCCTTGTTCTTAATTTCTGACAAAGTTACTTTGGCTGTTACTATAACAGGGCATGTCAAGAAACTGCCAAATTCAAACATAGTTCAATGATCCGATCAAAGTCACCTAAAATGGCAGGACATATTTTTTGCTCAGCAAACAAACTTGCTTAGAGTGCTAAATGTTAAGGTATTTATTACTGAAAGTAGCAGTGGTAATATTAACTTACACTGAGATCCAAGGCACTTGCCAGTCTTCTTCCTGTGAAAGGATGCTCCACAACTGATGTAGTCGATTGATGGTGGGATTTTGGGAATCGACTAAGACTGTTAGTCACACCCGATGTATTTCGTTTTAGTTGGGGAGTTTTGCTAAACGAGAAAGCACGCCCAACTTTTTTGCGAATACTGTTGAGAAAAAAAAGAAAACAACATTTAAAATTAAAGCACACATAAATCAATCTTTCCCCCCCCCCGCTTAATATTTCCATAAACAAGAAATGAGCAAGTGGATTAACAAGAGTTAATGAACCACTCATAAAACAACTTTGTATGTGAGAGTGACCCAACATATTCCATTTATAAAACCTTGGTAATCAAAATTAAGATGTACAAAATACAGTATACTCAAAGATTTTATTGAAACTGCCCATATTATGCATTAAATAACATTTTTTGTTTTAATTTTTAGGTGTTTAGCATTCACACCAATCAATTTAAAATTATTTCTGTTATTTAGCAATTTGCAAAAAAAAAAAAATATTAGGTCCTTTAAACTATATCAAACCCTAATAATATCTTTAAATTCAAAAAGGACGAAGCAGGTTACCTTAATCTAATAAAATTATTTCAACAATTACTTGGAATTATTTGAAAATTCTTTCATTCAAATATTGTTATAACGATCGTTATCTAAATAACATTGTTCTATTGTATGTTTTAATATAGGCAACCATAAATAAACAACATTTTGTTCACTTAAAAATAATACATTTCTGTAGAATTAAAAAAAATATGAGCGGGGTTGCTCTGGAGGTAATGTCTCCTATCCAAAAAGTGGATATTGGTAGTAGAAGTTGAATTTTCAGACTAACAAGACATAATATTTGTGTTTTTTGTTGACTAGCAAAATGATGCAAAACATGAAAGTACACACAAAGCTGAGGTGTATCATTGCACTCTTTTATGTGGAAATAAATTATACCTTTTGACATTTACCAATGTTTGTTGAATGCTTACATTCTGGCCAGCCCTGCAAAGCTGTCAAACCATGAAATAAAGAGCACCTCAAAAATTCACATATATATATATATAAGTTAATATTAGTGGTAAATATACACATACATATGCAAAATATATAAATATATGTACATAGGTGCATACACATATATGTATATTTTTTGAATAAAAAATCCCAAGAGGATAGCATCCAGGTAGAACTCAATGTCCAGGACAGAGTAAGGATATAATAAAAAGGCTTAAACACTAATATTCCATGGTCATAATTTATTCCATTGTAATCGTAAATACGATCCAATTCATCAGACCTACAAATTCAAAAAGAATTATTATTATTATTATCATCATTATTGTTGTTGTTGTAATAATTTCAATAATAAAATTGGAATCAATTTTCATCTACCAAATACCTACCATAAGAATGAAGTTGTACTATTCCAGTCAGTCAAGAGGAAACATCTTTCAAGGGTAACATTTGGAAATTCATATTAGGATTATATACTCCAAGTATGCATAATTCTTACAAGTTTTTGATTTTCACCTATTGAATCCAGAGTAACAGTTTACCAATATAATGCTCTAGTATTTAATGACTATAGTACAAGTAAACTGTTAAAAGCATATATCTTAATTTTATAGTCTCTAAAACAGATTGAAATAGTATTCAGTGTAGTTCTGAACATTGTTTACCTATATGTTCAAATAATTCAAACTGTTTTGTATACATATGGAAATGGATCAGGACACAGTTGTCAGATGTGGATATTGTCACCATTACATTCATGTAAAATGAAGATATTGTATAGCAAAAAGAATTACAGTCTAATATCTAAATAAAATAATGCTTTACTTTACATGTTGCAATTTTCTTTCTTCAAGGTCAGTTACACAGGCAGTTTTAAAATAAAATAAAACTAAAATGACTACAGGACTAGTAACCAGGATGAAACCTGACAACTACTCCTAATAGTAGTTTCATTTTAATAAAACTCATATTTCAATAAAGTTTCTTCTATACTTCATACTTTTTTATCGTTTACTCCAATGAAATTTTCCATACATTCAAAACATTAAATTAACATACATATACCTGACAGAATTACAATATTTTAAGAAGATCAGTGAAGCATAAATAGACAGATGAAAAAGGAAGTTTTGAAAATAACTATATTATTGGCAAGCTTTTGACATAAACATGTTGACAGATTTAAAATACTCTATTTCAATAAAGAAACCTATGACTGTGTTGCAATAGTCATTTGTTTAAAATTGTCTACGACTAACTCTGTATTTCGCTACTGAGTTATTAAAAAATATTTTGTTAGTATTAGACATTATTGTTTATATTATATAAAGAGATTATCAAATCAGAAAATTATTTTCTTTGAGATCGACACAAAAATTACTTGTTTATTGCCAAGGGAGATAACTTTAAATAATTCTCTCCCATGGTACCTCAATAATTAAGGAGATATTTACCGATGTGCTCTACTCCAAGTCAAATCCCGGGTGTCAGCATTCAACATTTCACCATCAACAGTTTGAAGAAACCTTTCCTGTAAAAACAATGTCATAATATGTGGAATCATTTGAAAAATTGCAAACAAAACCTGAGGCAGAATTGACTAAATAATTTTGTCACAGGCGAAAATGGAATGATAGAAAATGAAAATTAAAGTACAAAAATAGAGAGAAAACTTTAAACACAACCCTTGGTACAATATAGTTGTGGTTTACTGAAATTTTCTCTTGTGAGACCAAAGAAAAATACATTTTTATATGTTCTTAACTTCAATCAGCTTCTCTTTAAATTTCTTTTATTTCTCATCCTTTAAGAATAGAAATTTCTCCTCTACTAGAAGTTTGCGTATGAAACACTGCCATACAAAAGAAAATGCAATATGATACTTCCTAGCAGCAAAGTCACTAAACACCCAGCAGATTATGCCTCAAATACAATTTTCTACATACAAATTTATGTAAGTTCATAATCATTAACCCAAACAAAAGCACTGTAAACTGAGTTTATTTTTACCTTTTTTTTAAAATTTAGACAAAGTGTACATTTGTGATGCCAGAAAATAGTCATTTACACAAATCGATCAACAGTGGAAGACTAGAGTATACAACCTTCTGAGGTACCTGTCATACTCAGTAACTTCTTATAATTTTGAACTGAATCCTCTATTCAATCCACACCAGCAGTAGATTATTCTCACTGTTATATCCAGTGTATGGTAACAAAGGAATGAACAGAAAAGGATTAAAATTTCAACAGGGGTGTATTGGCTAAATTTTCAGAAGATATACAGGGTGCAATGGGTAAATTATCGCCATTTTATATTTTTAATTTCACACATGCACTTTACTTTTGTCAACTGCACAGTACAGTAGGGTCAGGTGGACACCATCTTTGAGAAAAAGAGCACTATGATGAAGTTCACTCCACCAGAAATTTGAAAACAGCATGCCGTACTGCTTGACATTCATGCTGGAAACTCCAATACAAACATTTCAGAGTGTTTGGGTGACAATCTGAGGACAGTGCAGAGGATTCAGAAAGAGTTGGATGAGTCTAAAGGAGATCAAGAAGGTACAGCAGCTCAAAACTCCTTGTAACACCAAAGATAAACTGAAGGCAAGGATTATGGCAGCATTCACCAACTTAAACAAGGAGACTGTCCAGAAGAATTGCAGGAGATTCCAAAGTGGTCTGGGGGCCATGGCTGAAGACAATGGCGATTTTATTGAATTAATTTACTCTTTAGTATTTCAAGATATTTTTGTGTAATTTTGGTATATATATCTGTTAAAATGAGATAGAGTTATTTTCATTTTTGCGTAATTTAGACAACAATTTTCCATCGGATCATGTAAATACTCAATGTCAGCATACATAGATGTGTGAAAATGACATGATGTGGATTCATCAGTATAAGTTCACAAGGTATATGCAGTTGGTAGCATGAGTCAGGTGTCATTGGCAGGGCTGATCTGCCTATCTTCAGGTGGTGAGGTGTATGGATGGGCCGGAAGTCATGAGGATAGAGTTGATGTGATGTCGTTGAGGTGTTGAGCCAAACTGCCAGCTTTATAGCTGTGGTTTAACAGATGCTGTCTATTTTAAATGTGGGTAGAGTTGGTAAGGCCTGGAGTTGGTGCATTTGGCAGGTCAGTTGACTGAGATCATGTTGGTGATGACAACACAAGCCTGGAGTTTGAAAGTGAAGCCACAAATCTGGTTGCCATTACAGTGGGTTGATCAAAGTCACAGTGGTGATGACAGGAAAGGCCTGGAGTGGATTAGTGAAGCCATGAATCTGACATTGCCAATAAAGAGAGTGTTAGTGGAATGTCGCTGTGAGCATGGTGTGGGTGTTTGTAGGACAGTGGGTCTCAAGCAGATATGTGTGTTGAGTTGGTTGATCGAAATCACAGTGGTGACATAGAGAGCCTGCTAGTGTCAACAGTTGACCTGTCAACTACATTCAGTGCATAGTCATTTTTGAAAGGTTTTCTTTTAAGCAAATCTGGTTGGTCCAAGACTCATCTTTTAATAATTGTTAGACTACCCAACCCAAAAATAGACTAGAGAGAATTAATTGATTAATTTATACAATTTGCCATCTTAGCATCTTGAGTATCCTTACACTTGTTTTGACTGAAATCTGTTAAAAGTTTAATTTTTTTGCTGCTGGAATATTTAACCATCATTCCTTCATGATTAGAGATTTTCTAATTTGTTTAAGTTCAAAATCCTCATTGGTAGGTTAAGTTTTCTCAGTGCCAACTGGATTCTGGTGACTTCTGGCTGAGATGGTGCCACTTGTATGTCATTGAACAAGAAATATATGTCAGCGGATATACATGTTGCCAATCGTTTTGTTTTTCAGCATTCTTATAACTTGAATAGTTCAAGTTAATTCCTTTTAGCCCAGTTAGATTGTACTTTGAATAATTTTTGAAGATGGTTGTATCTATTTGATACTAACTGTTAGCTATCACTTTTTTTTTTCACTCTCCATCTTCATAGGACTATAACATTTTAGGCAAAGTATCTGACAATGACTCCCTCTCAACATTAATCAGCAAACTTTTTTGTGTTTGCTGATTTTAATGCTCATCACATCAAGTAGCTTAATCATTCTAATCTTACTAATGCTGCCGGTATTTAGACGCTCAGCAAAATATTTTAAAAAAGCCTTCAAGAAAACAACCTGTGAAAACATGAAACCTCTTTGAGCTGAGACGCCTTGGGATATATATATATATATATATATATATATATATATATATATTCCACCTTGTGTAATTTTTTTTTACTTCCTCAAAGTTTTTCCCTTTTATTTTCCATATTTAAGAGATGTAATCTTTTTTTACCAGAATGTGTACTATTTTGTAAAAACTATAGCACTTTTATCCCTTATATCAGATGGTAATTCCCCATTTTGTAATCTCAGAAAATTGCTATCCTGCCATAATAGGCGCACAAAAGGAAATTTTTGTACAACCCTTGCATTGTATGTTTATTTTTTTTTATTTTTTTTTTTTTTTTATTTTGTAAAATAAATGTTTTTCTTTGTTGAGATTTTACACAGTGGCTGTTTTGGTTTTGTAATTTTGCGCCTATTATTGTGACTTGCTGTTTCTACTAAGTTTTTTGTACCAGCATGATAGGTGTCTGCTGTGATTAGAACTATCTAAGTCTACTCATAACACTTGTAAACATGTCCTCAAAGTAGCTAAGTCTTTGTTTGGTTCACGTGACTACTGGTAGGCCTGCAATAGCATGTTAAATAACTACTGGTGGTTGTGTATATAATAAGAGTAAGTCTTCTATCCCTCTTCACTTCACTTAATATGAGGTGTTATCATCTTCTGCTGATAAAGCAAAATATTTTGCTTGTAAATTCTCTTCCAATTCTACTCTTGACTATCTTTGTCTAACTTTCCACTTAGAACTGAGTCCCTATTCAATGATATGCATATAACTCCTTGTTTACTGCTATCATCTCTAAACTGGACTCCCACAAAGCATATGGACGATGATATCCCTGCTATAATCCTTAAGAGAGGTGCACCTGAACTGGCTCCCATGCCTTGCTGCTTCTTCTTGCTTTCCTGCTTGTTGGAAATCCTCTTCCATCTGGAATGATGGAAGAGGATTTCCAACATTTCTCTTGGTCTTTAAGAACTGATTCTTTTTAACAATTGGTCTATTAGTCTTCTACCTCTTTTTGGCAAAGTACTAGAGACTCTAATTAACACTAAAATGGTTAAGCATCTCAACTTGCAGGATCTTTTTTCAGATAAACAATAAGCCTTTCATTTCTCTTGGTCAACTGTTGATGTAGTAACAATTATTGCTGAAAGAGTCTATCAAGCTTTAGATAAGAATTTTGAAAGCTCAGGCTGTTGCTTTGGATATCTTGAAGGCATTTGATAGGGTTTCACATGCTCATCTTCACAAGTTGAAAAGTTATGGTAGTTCTGGATGAATTTTTGAACTGATTCAATCTATCAAATCCTGAAAGGAAAGTGATCTTGAATGGCCACTCTTCTAGATCTTTTTGCATTAATGTACATGTTCCTCAGGATTCTATCTTTGGATTTATGTTGTTCCTAATTTTCATCAATGACCTTCCTGATATCATCAATTCTCAGCTCGGTATCTATGCTGATGACACAAACAAATATTTACTCTTGTGTTAATGGTAAGCCTGATTGGTTCAATAAAGTCAAATTGACAGCTGATCTCAAAAATGATCTACAATTTGCTGTTAACTAAGATGAGGAATGGCTTGTTAATTTTAACGCCTCCAAAATAAAACTACTCTCTTAATTGCCTGAGAAAACACTTTTTGCCTTTCATCAGCATGACTGATGCTAATTTACAGGAAAGTAACTCGTTACATCTTCTCAGACTAATGTTTTTAGCTTAAATGAAGTGGAAAGATTATATTGAATCAATTGCTAGAGAAGTTGGTTCAATGTGTCATGATAGATTCTTACAAGAAAAATTGTCTATCTTACACATAAGTCTACCATTCATCCATGTATTGAATATTGCTGACACATCTGGTCTGGTGCTTCTGCTATATATTTAGAGATTCTTGATAAAATACAAATAAAAATCTGCAATGTTATTGGAATCTCGACTTCACTCACTTTCCCACCACCATAACATAACTCCCCGGTGTGTTTTCCACTTTCATGATAATTATTCTGATAAGACAACTTATTTTGTAATTTACGAATTTATACACAGTATTAGATTAGCAGCAAAATCTAATCCTTTTACACTTGAAATGGCTACATGTAACCATAAGTTCTATGCTAACACTTTATTTTCTTGTACGTCTCCTGTGGAACTCACTTCTGGCTTCTTGTTCTCGTTCTTCAAAAATTTAAATGCAATGTCAATAGTTATCATCTTAATTACTGTTCTTTTATTGTTCTGTATCCTTAATTATTTTTTTCATATTCTTCAGTGTGTGTGTTTGTGTGTTAGTATAGTTATATGTGAATGTTATTAGTTTTAGTTATTAACCCAACTATCCAATTTCCAGCCTCCCAATAGTTTCAGATAATAAAATATTAGCTACAAATACCAAAGATAAAATTTAAGAAAAAAAAAAAAAAAAAAAAAAAAGAGATCAAGAAATTACCATTAATAGAAGTAGACCCCCAACAAAACATAGTTTTACTTACTTGAATTGTAGAAAACTATTATGCAATTATGTAATACTTACATAGTCTGTCCGACACAGAGTGTCTGCTATTGTCCGACACAATAATGTTTGGAATTCTTTCTTGGATGTGTCTCCATCAATTTTGAAAGCGTACCAAACATTCTTGTCACCATTATTGCAGCAAAGACCAAATGCATTCTGACAAACTGAAAAATAAAAACCAACATCAGTCTCTTTGTTGAGCAGGATTCATATTATGACATATTGAAGTTGTTCTTAAACCAATCTGTTACTTAAGGTTTATGGACCTTTTAAATCACTTTTACTGTTAGCAATATTAAATAATTTTACAAAAAGCAATTGAGTATAAAAGGTACTGTTGGTTGGATCTAATAAATTCTGGATTTCTTCAACCTCAAATTCTCTAACTTTAATGATGCTTATGTGATTTTAAAAATAATTTTTTGTGTCAAGCTCAAAATGTTTTGAAACATTTCAAACTAAAAAATGAATAAAAGTAGCAATAATAAATAAATGAGTGGAAATAGGTTTATGTCCTCACTCTGAGTTTCATTCAAATCTAAAACTGCCTTGATGTTATTCAGTGGTAACAGAGTCAAGTGTTTGAATGGTTTCTGAGGAGTCTTGTGGCTGGAAGGACTCTTGCTTGAAGTACTCAAAGACTTGGCTCTTCTTTTACATATCTGAAACAAATGAAACTGAAATTTGTCAAAGAAACATTGCTAAGCAGTTCTAAACAAATCCTTTCATTTAAAAGAACAGCTAAAGACTATACAAGATATTTGATATTTTTTCAACATGGATTCCTGAAATTTCCCATGATGACTTTTTTTGTGAAAAAGCTGAGTTTAAGAAAAATGAGGAGGAGATATAAAAAAAAGAAAAAAAAAGAATACAAAACTACAAGATTTTATTAGTTTTTAATATTTGTGTTGACTGATTTCTGTCTGAAAAGAATTAGTTTCTTTCTTTTTTGCTCCCCTTTCTAATAAAATAAACAATCTCTATTCTAAATGAGAATAATTATAAATCACAATCAAGGAAAATTTTAAAAAGTAGTACATCTGTAACCATCATCACTAATCTGCTTTTAGAGATATTTTCAACTGATGCTGATGTAAAGAAAACTAAAAAAAATTCAACGTTTCACTGACTTAAATCACTTTAAAAAAAAAAAAAAAGTTGGCAAGAGTTCTTAAGTCTACTGAAGAGATTTTTTTTTGTTTACAATATCAGTAACCAACAAATTTTAAAATTACTTTTCTGAACAGCTCAAAGGTTAAGAGCATCTTTAGAGTCTTTATGCATTTTATTTCTAAATTAATATTCATTTACATAAGAATGCTGTACATTATGAATCTTAGCAGAAAGGAATATCTATCTTGTATCTATTTCTCTATATGTTTTTTGGACAATTATTTTTAACATTTCAGCCAATACATTCCTTGGCCTCCATCAGGTGTGTTAAATGTAATATCACTGGTTAGCTAGAGTTTATTTACTTTCTTAAATTTTATTCTAGATCAATCTAGTTTGCGCAGTGTTTTTTTCTTGTACTTTTGTCTTTTCAATGAGAGCAGAATCCAGAGACAAAATACACATAATGAAGTTCAAAAAATGTATCAGCTGAAATAAATAATAACAAAATGATAATAATGAAAAGAAAAAAAAAAAACATTCTTTTAAAAACAGATTCATGAAGAGGGTTAAAACCAACAAATGCAAAACTACAAGAACTTTAAAATAAAATAAGTCTATGTTAGGAAACTCACCTCTAAATTGTCACTGAACAGAAATAGAGAAAGTGCATCCCCTTTTAAACTGACCGAGTTGATGAGTTCAATTACATCAACTCTCTTTAAGAATATACGATGAGAAGACAATAAGTTGGCCTGCAAAAAAATGGTATAAAAAAAAAAAAAAAAAAAATCAATGAACAGAAAGCAAAATTTTAGTATTAAAAAAATTCAAAAACAAAATTAAATCTACGTGTTTTACAGGCATAGCATACAAAAGCACATGTGTAAGTTAATTTTGATATTTTATTAATAAAAATGAAAATATTTCATTTCTCAAGCTTCATGGTATTTTTCCTAATTAGGAGTGTTACAGGAGTTTGATAGACCAGGGCTCGGCAAACTTTTGCTAACTATATGTTGACTTATTCAGTGTGTCAACAGCATACCTATTTTTATACAAGTCAAGGTTAATATACCTGCTCTACACTATATCTTATATAATAATATATAGTATATATTAAAATTGAAACAGAAAAATATCTTCCTTGCATTGTAGTAGCTATTGGTTTGGACTTTGTGATGTCATTTGCGGCTGCATGCCATTGGAAATTGCTTGGCAGGTCATGTATGCCATAGGTTGCCAACCCCTGTGATAGACCAAAATTATAAAATATATTTATCAGTAAACAGAAAACTTATGTACAGATAAACTGATAAAATAAAAGAAAATAGCTTGCAGCAATTAACAGCACATGTCCACTCATTTCTATAAAGATACACATTTCATTTTTTACACTTTCATACATGACGCTTAAATATTGTTTTCTTTCATTAATTTGTTCAAATGAATGAATAAATAAATACAGCCCACATTCACTATCCAGGGTTTTCTTGTTGACAAGAGACTTCTAAATGGATGTTTCCCAGAAAACTACAATCCAAGGATCAATTGTTATCTATCCTCCTTATCCTCATTATTTTCACTTTTTATCACACACCTCATTAATCATAACCATTTTAACAGTAATCTTCTACCTTGAGTGACTTTCAAACCTTGTATTGAGTGAACTTTTTTTTTTACAAAAAAAAAAAAAAAAAATCTCATCCTGAGAAAGGAATGGTCATAACATCAAATTTTCTTCTAAAAATCAACACATTATGTTACTAATTCACAAAATAATTTTTAAAGAAAATTTCTACTTACTGGACAACATTCAATATCATTAAACAAATTGAACATCTCAACTCCATTTTCTGTCTTCTTTTTGCCTTCATTGATGCACCTAAAATGATTAAAATAATGTTTTTCTTAAAACAAACACATTCAATGGTTTTACAAGTATGCAGATTTTTTTTTAATTAGTAAATAATTTTCTTTTTTCTCAGGTGTTTTTATTTGGTTAAAAATCAAAAAAAAAAAAAAAAAAAAAAAAAAATCAGATGAATATATTATTTTTAATCAAAAAAGGAAAAAAAGAAGTGGTTATGTCAATAATATCAATTATTTTTAAAAAGTTAAACAGGATCAAGTGAAATTATACAATTTCTAGTCCAGAATGTCTTTAGCTTGCCTTGCACAAGGTTTGCCATATTCAATTATTTTCTGAGAGTGTAACAAAAGTTTTTTTTCAAAAAATTGAAAATTAAAAAGGTTTCTTAACACAATTCAAGTAAACTACAGCATTATAATAATTTTTATTTTGCATAAAATTTGTATCTTTATTTAAAATTAAGAAAGCATATGTCAAAAATGTTACTTAGTTCAATCAATCTTCATAAATCTTCATTGAATCACTAAACAAAGATTCCCCAATATTGATTTTCTTTTTTTTTTTTTTTAAATAGCTACAATTGTCTCAATACAATCAAAAGCAGGGCACCTCAACTTTGTCACTGAAAAAAAAAAACAGCATAGCATGATATAAAAAGGCCCTAAACTTAATAAAAAAATTTATCATCAAAATGTTTATGTTATTATTAATAAGGAAGGCCAAAGTATTTTTAATCATTTCTAGCACATTGGAAATTTTGGTTAAAAATCTTGTTTTTTCTTTTTTTTTGCATCAGCATTCAAAATAATATTTACAATTAGTGTTTTTGCTCTTTTTTTTTTCTCTCTTAGGTAAAAAACACTGAGTTGAAATTTCTTGCAAAAATTGAATTGTCAAATTTTAATAAAACTTTCAGGACTTATTCACAAATTAATGAATATTATCGATTTTTTTTTTTTTTAACACGTTAAAAAACTTACATAATTTCATGAAATTTCAATCTAAAAAATTGTACTAGTTAATAGCAAGACTCCTTGGAAAATGTAAATCAAAATTTTACTTTTTTTTTTTTTCAAAACTCCTACTCATTTCCCGAAAATCTGCTCAGAATCATAAAATGAAAAAAATGCAATAAAACTATGACATTATTTAATTAGAAATGCTTTTATAAATAAGATTTATTAAGGACACTATTGTCTTAAGAAAGTTTTTCGATAAAGAATGAATTTTTACAATCATTTTTTTTAACTTATAAGAATTTATTATAAGAATGTATATATAAATCTTCTAGAATTCTGCATTACTTTAATTGCATTAGGTGATATTATTAAGTGAAAACTATATTTACTAATCAAAAACTGAAAAGCTTAATAAAATTAGTTTTGCACCAAGATTTTTTTTAATAATTTAAATTTTTTTTTTTTTAGTGTATAAACATTCCCATTTTCGTAACTATAGCCGTCACGTGTTTTAAGAGTTGTTCTCTCTGAAAAATATGGCTGTCTGCAATTCTTTCAGCATTCATTTCTGTGGTCATCATGTTTACATCTCAACATCACTTCAAAATTTTAAACTTTAAAATTTAAATTTTTACTTTTAATTCCAATTTCACTCAATACTTTTATTTTATGTATTTATTTTAGTGTGGGTCATACTATAATTAAGTAATTTTTTTTTTTTTAGTTTCACTTTAAGAAAAAACCTGGAGACAAAATCCAATTCTACTAAAAAATAAGTTTTACTTTAACTTAAATTAAATTTTTCTTATTCAATTTCTATTTGAAATTCTTATTTTATAATTAGTGTGTCATTTTGAAATTTTCTTTCAGTTTATTTTTACTTTAACTCCTACTTTATAAAAAAAATGTGTTTTTTTTTTTTTGTGTAAGTTATTTTGTTAAAAACTAAACTAACTCAACTAATTCAATAAAATTCAAGATAATTGCTGAAAATATGTTAATTTTTTTAAATTACAAGGTAGTTAAAAACTAAAAACAAAACATTCACCTAGATTTCTTAAATTTAAGTCAATTTCTGGTCAACCATACTTGGCTTTTCAACACCTTTGGCTGCCAATCAAACGATTAGCATGTTAAAAAAACAAGACCACATGGTTAATAAATGCTTGTATACTGCATTTTATGCTGTAAGTAATATTTGTTTCAAATCAGATTATTTTAATTTTAAATTTGCTAATTTTCCTCAAATAACATGTAAAAAATATATATTTTATTTTGGAAGATTTTTAAAACTGAGAATTAACTTTTGTTTACAAATGTGTCAAACTGGTTGATATTTATCAATTTTCTGAAAGCAACCAAAAAGTTAAGATTCCAGTGAACATAATTTCTATTTGAAATACACCAAAGTATTTTGCTTACTGGAAGTAGTAAATTTAATCATTTAGCTTTCAATTAAAGCTAAAAAAAAAAAAAAAAAAAAAAAAAAAAAATTTTCATTTTTAAAAATTCATATAAAAAATTTAGTGGAGGTCTCTAATCAAAAGTAATCTTTTAGAATGAAGTTAGTAACAACAAAATGCTTTCAATGCATAAAAAGCATTTAGGTCACGATAGCTGCACAGATTCGGATTTCAGCAATATACAATGTTCAGCATTCATTCAAGAGTTATAGCAGCGAAAATATTAACTTATAAACACATTGCTTAGAATTCACAGGATTAATAAGTTTTTTCCTATTTACAAAATCAAAACAGAAAAAACTTACGTGAGAACTTCCTTTAATGCTTTCGTAGCCTCCTCAATTTTTTGGTAGTCAGGGTTGGATTTTACTGTCTTCTTCAAGATTTCTGCAATTAAAATATTAAAAATAAAAATTTTTAACTAAAGATTTTTCATCAGTTAACAGTTTAAAATATATAAGCAAATTTTATTCTAAATGTTTATGAAGTTATGAAATTTACAAAACGTTCCTAAATTTCAGCATTAAAAAAATTTTAAAAAAACCTAAAAGTAATTGAATTTTTCAAATTTAATACAAAGAACTTAAAATTACCAACATAGGCTGAAAGAGAACAAAAGCAGGACTTATCATTATATGGATTGCTATTCGGTCCGAAATGCTCATCTTGATTGTTACACTCTCAATGCTTTGGCTGTTTTACTACGGTAAAAAGTTCTAGCTGTGAGTAAAACAGCTAAGATAAGCATAATGGCCTGAATAGCTATGCATACAATTACTCATTCATATTATTGTTGCACTTAACATCTCTCTATTGTCATAACAAAACACACTGCCACCTGGCATAATAAGTGTAAGGCACATAACTATAGTACTACAAAAAGTTACAGACATTAGAGAAAAAAAAAAGAATTTAGGACATAGGAAGATAGTATTTGTTATTGTTTATATATTTATAAAATTTGTCATAATTACAAGAGAGTGCTAAAAAGTGAACAACCGAGAGGCATAAAACATAAAATGCTATTCCACATTTTGACACTTGGTAAATCATTTCTTTAACTCTTGAAAAGAAAAGAAGAAAAAATTGTAATATTTAGACACACAAATATTGTTCTGATTCTGCAGTCACGTGTGAAATGAGCTCCTTTCAAACTTTTTTTACATGTTTAATTAAGAAAGAAAGAATCAGATAGAGCAAAATTTAGTGAGTAGAGTGGATGGCATGTTCATTTGAACTCCAAATTCTTCCAAATATCCCTTGTTTTGCCAGAACTGTAGGTAGTTGTTTTGCAAAAAGATAATATCTTTCCACAGCATCCCTTGTTCATCTTTCAATGTCTCTTTTAATCGACACATCAAGTTAGAGTTTTATTCTAACTGTTTGGTTCTTCTGAAGATATAACTTATTTAGATATCTTATTTATCTCCCAAAACTGTGGCCATGAACTTTCCGGTCGACTTTCAGGTTTTTGGTATGGACTGTTGTTTGGTCCCTGGATCATAGTGATGTAAACATGTTTCATTAAAGTGACAAGTTGTTCTAAAAGATTATAATTGATAAAAATGCTGTAAAATCAAATAGGGGATGTCTCCTTGATATTGTTTCTGGTCAGCCTACAAGCATTTTGGCACCTACTTGGCTGACAACTTCAGCATCGTGAACTGCTCATGAATTATAGACCTAATGTGTTCCCTTGATATATCTAATATCTAGGCTGTTATTTTGACCAGGTTCATCAATCAAAGTCTGGTATGGACTGTTGTTTGGTCTCTGGATCATAATGATGTAAACATGTTTCATTAAAAGTGACAAGTTGTTCTAAAAGATTATAATATGATTGATGAAAATCAAATAGGAAGTGTCCATATATTGTTTCTGGTTTGCATTGAAATATTTTGTCACTCATTTCACAGACGGCTTTTGTGTACTTTAAGTGGCCCTGAATTAATAACACATGCTGAAAAGTTCTTGGCACAGTAAAACATTTATAATATTGTGGTAGAAAAAGCTCCTTAGCCTTAGTGAAGTCAGTCTAAGAAAATCATAATGTGAGATTTGTAAATTCCTGATTGGTATCTGGCATGAATAAATCCACTTTATAGAGGCAGAAAGCCTTTTTTAAACCTGCTTGTGTATAAATATTTCCAACCCTGGTGGCAAGGTACAATACTTCTAAGTTGCCCTAAGCCAGCTCAGAAAAGTGGGCTGATAAAAACCAACATGAAAATTTCCATACAAGAAGGGTCCACTGCTTAATCTCCACACTGCAAGTTCAGGAGAGCATACCAGCAGCATGGGGATGATGCATCAGTGACAATCAGGAAATGACTCCTGCAGCCTCTGATTGGTGGTGACCAATGTGACCAATAAATACGGCCACTTGTTAGTATGTACTCAACCATAGGCGGAGATAGTGAAAAGAAGATAGGTTCTAAAATGTTGTTTAAATGAACTGCTTGTTTATTAGGCAATACTATTTATAAGCTTATAAGCTCTTATTCTAATTTTGTACTGAATTTATGTTGAAACTAAAATAGTATAAAGTTTCAGATATAAATTCCTTATTATAAATTCATTTTTATGATGTTTGGAACAAGGAATTATAATTATATGCGTTGCTATTCGAACCTACATACTCATCTTGGTTGTTATATTCTCAATGTTTTGGTGGTTTTACCCTGGTAAAGCTCTAGCTGTGTGCATTCAGTTCCAACAAAAATTATAAAGGTCTGTTAAAATGTTCTCAGCTCAATCCATTCCCCGAAATCAGACCATATGACTTAACAGATTTTTTTTTTTTTCAAAGAGTTTCTTGGTCAGGCAGGCTGATAATTTTTCAACACCCTCTCATAATTGCAAAAATATACGTTTAGACAGTATGACCCTGTAACATTCTTCCTAAAGCCAGATCTTCTTCTGACTCATGCTACACTAATTTTCACCACTAGTTGAATGTGAATGCCCCGAATACCCGAAATTGATCTAAAATTCGGTCCACTGCACAAGGCTCTGCACATATCTTCCATTTTTACTCACACACTCAAAGAAAAAATATGCAATACAATTCAAAATTTCCACCCAATAGTACCCACCCCTATGTAAAGAAACAAAATGAAAACTGGAGCTGATTTGAGCCTCAGAAAAGGACATAAAAACCCATCAAATTTACTGGAAAGCAGCCTCCCATCTCCAAGACACATCAGATTCAGCCAGTCCACCAAATAACATCACCCCAGTAATTCATCCTTCCTTTCCTATCAGACACCTTTTACAACTCCACTTATCTCATTTTTAGAACGAGAGACATTTACACTGATTTATCATTTGTTGTATTTTACGTAAATACAATTGTTTATTTCTTTAAATTTTCATTGTTTCTTTTTTTTGTTTTGCCACCACACACTTATAACAACCCCAACCAATAATCTGTGTAAACAAAAAAAACTTCACATATTAACTACTTGTGACTGTAGGGATATTTTCCATAAAACATCATATTGACAAAATATGATTCAGGACAATGTTGTTTTCAATGCCTTCTTTTAACATTATCTACATATTGCCTTCAATTGCTAGCAGAATAAGAAGAATTAAAACAAAAAAAATGTCTCATATGTGATCAACCAATCCCAAATGTTTGAATGAAGACAGTAAAATTTAAAATAAGACCAAAAGGAAGCAATTTCATGCTTTTTAAAATGAATGCTTTAAGATGTTCTTCATGGACTTTTCAAAGAAATGTGATTACATGCATTTTCTCTTGAAAAATACTACAAGCTAGACAATATGTACATTGATAATTAAACAGCTACAGTTTTTAGAGTAATTATTTAAATGGTTTAAGAAAAAAAAATCAGTCAACACTTCAAGATATTTATAATGATTATTTTAACACTAGCTTCACTTACCATTTAAAAGTAAAATGATACTACCAAGGCGTTGAACAGGTCGTATCATTAGCTCTACCAAACTTTGTCGGCCACATTCAGGTTTATTCAAAGAAACCTACATTAATGAAAATTAAAATAATGATCTCAGTTCTATTAACAGACCAGGCAACATGCCTACACTTAAAATACTTAATTTCTTTTTTTAAATCTGAATTAGTAAATATAACTTAAAGGAGAAAAGGTTTTATCCAATCTTGTTAAATTTATACTGAAAAGGTTCACTAATATTTTCTTTATTTTAATAATAAAAAAAAAAAAAAGGCTGTTTAGATAGTGTTTAAGCAAATTAAATTCTTCTCAACCCCAACACATTCAAATGAAAAACTAAAAAATAGTTTATTTTTATATTCTTCTAAAAGTGAAATCATAAGTTTCTATAAGTTAATTACTTTTTTTTATATGTAAATTTACTTTCATTATTTTGTTTCCAGATATCACTAAATAGTGCAGAGATCAAGAAATGAGAATGTAATGAAGAGAGAAAATGAGAAAATCTATTGATCAAAAATTGTTTGACCAAAGTGAAAGCATATTTTTTTTTTAAACTTTCAAAAGTTATTAGGATTTATTAGGATAAATAAATAGTAATCAGATAGAGAGAGTATTTACAATCCTACTTGTGAAAAGAAAGGAGAAAGTATCTTATCACTAATCAAGTTAGATTTGTTGAAGGTCAACATGATATGTTTATGGTAAAAGAATGTTGAAATCAAAAATAAAATAAAAATACAGAAAAGCCTAAATTTGTATGGTTAAAAATGTTCCAACATTAAAAACAGAATTACAAAATATCTTAATAAAGTGTTTCCTTTGGAATACAAGGCTGGGCCAGAAGAGAGAAGATCAAAAAGTAGTGGGATATGACACAAGCTGCTCTAGACAACAATCTAATTTTAAAATTATATCTTTAATAATACAAATTTAAAGATGAAGTTATGAATAAAAGATAATGAATTTTGGAATTGAAAGTGAGTCATTATATGAGTTTCAAGATAAATAACATACGTAAATTTGTGTTATAACAACCATCTTCAATCTAAGAGGTTAAAGAAAGACTGGTGCAGAGGGTCGTTTTAATTTTCATTACAAATGTTTTAAAATATCAAAATATACAACTAAATGCTGTACTTTATTCAGTACAATGAATCAAAAGATAAAATTAAAATGATTACTAAAAGAAAAGGCTGACTTACTTTGAGGAAGGCATGGAATCTGGGATTTCTTTTCTCACACTCAAGAATACACTCTTTTGTGTTTTCAAAGTAACTGATAAAAGGTGAATAAGTCTTCACTAGGGTGTCAGTCTGCAGAAAAGTCCAGAAAGAAAAAAGTGTTTTATTTTTTAGATTATTGAAGAATGAAAGATTTAAAATTTTCTTTATTACAAAGGGAAAATGATTTGATCAGACATACACACACACACACACACACACACAAAATAATTTTATCCAAAAATATGGTCATGGTAACAACTTCAAGTAATAAAAAAATAAAAATAAAAAAATGAACAAAATCAAGGAATCTAAAGAGATTATCAGAAAGCCTTATGATGGAATTTGATTTAATAGGTAAACTAAAAAAAAAATTTTCAAATAGGATACAAATACAATTTATACTACCTATAAAATTATAAATAAAATCTGCTAAGAATATTTGGAAAAAAAATTAAATGTGACAAGCAATAATCATAATAATCAAGACTAACATGTTTGAGAATCACATTTCCAATAATGATATCCTCCCTCCAATTGTTGACAATTTCCTCCAATTCATTCCTTATTTGACAATGAACATCATAAATGGGAGGAATCTTGCCAAATATCGATTTCACCTGCAGAGGTGTCAATATAGGTCCATTGTACTGGTGAGGATTTTCAATATTTTTCTTAAAAGTCTGAAATAGAAAAGTCAATCCATAAGCAAAAATGGAGAATCTATAAAACAAAAATGTATTTACAGCAATAAAATTTTCACCTAATGGTAGTATTTTTGTTAGTCCCTAACAAAAATATACTTACGTTCAAAATTGTATCCAAGATCTTGACATAGTTTCGTTCTGTCTGCAACAATTCCATAACAACCAAACATCGTCGTGATAGCTTGCCAGATTTTTTATCAATATTTTTTTCTAGAAACAAAAAATTATAATATAATAGAGACTTTTTTTTTTTTTTTTTTTTTGTAATAAACTGCTGGAAAATGATAGAAATGGAAAAAAAAAAAAAAAAAAGGTAGTTTTAAGGAAAGACAAATCTTAGATTTCACTCTGAAAAATTTTAGCAGGGTGGGGTGAATCCTTTTTCTAAATATTCAAGTTGGTCTGGTCAAAGAGTAAAAGCAAGAAATGTGAAATAATAACAAAATTTATGATTCTCAATAACAAAATTTATCTCATCAATGTGCTCCATGTTTTCTTTATGATTTTTATTTCTCTTATACTTACAAAAAAAAAAAAAAAAAAAAAAAAAAAAAAGGATAAAAAAAAAAATAAAATTATCAATGAAACTGTTCTAATTTTGGCTAATCCTCATCGCCAAAATGTTATAACCTAGGTAAGGTTATAGAATAGAATAATCACACGAAGGCTGGTAATGAACAATAACTTAGGATAAGAACAACACATATAAGATTCGCCAGAGGCATGTAGAAGAAGTAGTCAACTGCTAGAAATGAGTCAAGTGAATTCCACCATGAATCTCCAGCTGCGAACCAATATACAGTATTTACTACTGTAAATATGTGAATGGGGACATACCCATTATTGTCCGTAGGCATGCTATGACAGGAACAAAAGTGAAGACCTATTGAAATTTATGATTGAAAAGTGATTTTTATATTTTGAAGAAAAAGAAGCTTTCTTCTCTCAGAGGAGATCTTTATCAATCAAGTTTAGAGTCTGTAGGAATTATACCAATTTAACAGCCATGTAATACAAAACATGAAGAGTTCTGTCAAGTGAAAAATTCCCAAACACGAAAAATGTGATAAGTTTTGAAGTATGTCTCATCTAATATAAAACCCATTCATTGTTTATAAGGAAACCAGCCCCCAACAGGAAATCGGTCAATATTCCAATATGAAAATTGAACCAAATCCTAAAAACCTACAACGGTACAATTCTTTATCCCAGGAACAATAATAGTCTAATTATCAATATCACCAATCTTCCAATCTTTCAAGTAGAGAAAGACCAAGGCATATATACATATACACAAGTATTTTCCAATTTGTGAAAACCTGCTTTGAAATCAGTTTTCTTCATATTTCTCTACAAGTATTTTCTTATGATAAACCAATATTTTACACCAGAACTTAATCTACATCACACACATCAAGTTTTGTTTTTGATTGCTTTAATAAGAAGTAAATACAATGCCATCAGAATTTTTTACATATGAAAGCATAGAGACTTGAATAAAACTCAACAAAGTAAATATACTTGAGTTAATGTTACACTAACAAGTTTGCACACCATCAATGACAAAAAACAAAAAAACAACAAAAAAAAAAATGATAATATCCACAACTACTTTCTAAGAAATAACCATATAAAGCAACATACCGTCTCTAATAGATGTATTGTTTTCCTCATGAAATTTTCGACTGACATTGATTGAGGTTTCATTACGGTCACTGGAAAGTCTTTTGGGTCCCCAGTTTGGAGACTGGGGGCTATCATTATAACACTGGTTAATATCTTGAAGTAATCTTCGCTTTCTATTCTTTGAAGAAGAATTATTTAAACAGAGTGGAATTTTCTTTTCAGGAGTTTCTTTCTAAAATCAGACAAAGAGATTTTTTAAGAAAACCAAAAGTACATACATTAGTCTCTTCTGTTATGATTTAATTGAAGGTTTATCCCTAAATTAAAATTTTTATTTAGAGAGACAAAAATTAGAAATGGGTAAGTGTTGAACACTTCAATTTAAGTTTATTGTTGAAGTCTTTATTCAAGATATATTAATGAACAGAAAACATTAAACTATTAAAAAACAAACACATGGACTTAGTGAATTATTTCATCTTTTTTTGTGAACTTCAAATATGTATCAAAATCATATTTGAGCAAAGATAAATTGTTATTTTTTTACTTAAAATTAACAATTATAAAAAAAATAAAATCCAAAACAAGTTTTAAGTACTGAATGCAATTTTTAATTCAACTCAAAATTTTTTCAAGTAAAACAATGTTTTCTTTGTTTTGTCTATGAACTACACTCAAATGCTTTTTAATCAACACAAAAACAGAGGAAATAAACTAAATAAAAAAAACTAACCTTTTCAAATAAGTAAATGTCTTCCCATGCACAAGCATCCATTTGTAAGCTACCCCAAAACCACTAGAAAATAGAAAACAATAACAATGAACATTCAAACTTCAGATAAGCTCAAATACTTAAATATGTTGAACTTCATACGGACAATGGAAACGGCGTAAATGTATGGAATATTGCTGGGTTTTAAATAAAAATGGTTGAAAATAAAAGTTACTGATGACATTAAAGTAAGTTCATTAGAATAAACCAGCACATCTTGAAATAATCTAGGCTCAGAATTCTTTGTAGATTTAAATATGCATAATTTTCTTTTCAAAAGTTTATTATCAATTCCTTTTGTGTCTATTCGAATGTACAAAGCTTAGTAAATGTCAAAACCTCAAATAAACAGGCATTAAATTGTAGTGTTATGGTTCAACTGAACTATTGAGTAAGCATGTCTTTCATTTGAAGACAAAAACTCAACAGAAAATTATTGTAATTTACATCTTTCTTGTCCAAGCATTTTCTTGGGAATAGATAACTATGTATAAATAAACAAGAGTAGCAGCTTTACATAAAGGCCATAAAAAGCAGGCAGTATTCAACTTAGAATATTTCTTATGTTATTATAGAGATAAACAGTTTCCTTGAACAAAGTACAAAAAGTGAAACTTACTTCAGCTCGAACAATAAACCCGTTAGGTTTTATGATTTCAGGTAGAATACTTATAGCATGATCATCAACTACAAGATGTGTACAGCGACTATCATCGGCAGGCAAGTAAGTTCCACCTGCAAATACAACATGATGACTAACATAGAGAGAGAGTGGATGATATACAAAATAAGCTTCATCTATCAGCATTTCAAATTGGTGAAAAACTGCAACAAAGGAAGAAAAATGTCATCTAAATTTGACTTTATCCTAACACCATCTTAATTATCTTTTTCATTTTGCTCCCATATTATTAATCTACAGAGACTTTATCTGCAATTTTCACCTAACAGAAATAAAGCCATTAAAAAAAAAAAAAAAAAAAAAGATAAATATTACTGCAAGGTAAAATTCTTCTTTTACTATTGTAATTTTTATTCACCTCTGCTACATGACCAACTAATCTATTCACAATACATTTATCATGTAAATTAATCTCAAAATTAATGGTATTTATTTTTTTTTTTAATGGTATTTTTTTTCAGTTCCAGAAAATGGATTAGGCTTTTCTTGTCTGTGGAATATTTTTTAAGTTCCGTTTTCAGTGTCATTTTCTAGATTAATTCTTTTTAATAATTTTCCTCTTAATTCTTACATGATTTAATCACTTCCATGCACTACACATGTCTTTCTATTCCAATAACCACCAACATCATCACAATTAGGCTGTTCTTATAGCTTAGGAAAAAAAAAAAAAAGCATCCAGCAGAAGAACAAGAGACTCACCATTTTCAGAAGTTAGTTCTTCCATTTGCTTCTTGTCATCCTCGTTAAAGCCGTAGAAACCCAAATAACAAAATTCAAAAGGCTTAAGCCTTAAGCACATCTATTAAGAAAAGAAATCCAGAAATTAGATCTCTCATATACAGGGATTAAATGCCTTTAATTGATGTAGATATTAAATGTAAAATAAAACACTTTCAAGGTGATAAAAAAAAAGATTCATTTATATTTCAAAAGTAAAATTTTTCAGAATTATAAAAACAAATATTAGTAAAATAAGCAAGAATAACAGTTATTTACATTGTTTGGACTGCTGTCATCATCTTTGTTGCCATATTCAGGACGTTTCAGCCATTGTATGCTCTGGTCTTTTTCAGGTGATTGGAATTTTGAACTGAACCCTTTATTTCACTACAGCAAGTTACCTCACATATATGGTTTCCCCAAATTCACAAAGACAGTATTCCACTCAGGACAACTGTCAGCTACCAGGGCTCTGTGTGCCACCCCCTGAATCACTTTCTTGTGGACATAATTGACCCATTAATAGGAAAGTCACTATCATATGTCCAAAACACCATCTATTTTTGTGAAAATAATAAAGGATGCTCCTATCCAAGCTAACCACATGGTGATCTGGACACGGTGAGTTTGTTCACCAAGGTATTGATGCAAGAGGCAATATCGTTAGCCAGAGACGGACTGGTATCAGACTCATCCCTAAGAGAACAGACCAGTATACCAATAGACAACATATGGAAATGCTGACTTTCTGGATACAAACAGTGCACTTCAGAATGGTATGAAACATCAAGAGGATGAAAGGTTAGCAATGGGCTCACCATTATCACCAACAATGGATAACATATACATGGAATACTTTGAAGAAATGGCATTAGAATCCACATCACTAAAGCCAACTCTATGGCTGAGATACGTAGATGACACCATCATACTCTTGCCAAACAAATTCATACGCTGATGTCCAGTAGATAAAAGTGCTGGTTGAATCCAGTGACTTGACCCAAAGAGTTGTAAGTTCAATAACAAAAAAACTTTTGGAGATAATTGATACTAGGACATCTGGAAGAGTCATGGTACATGGAACTAGAACAATCTACCCCAGTGGACAATATAAAGGGTTAAGTTTAAAATACCAATCACTTGAAGAAGGCCAGAGCATTATGAATGTGGCAACAAAGATAAGGACAACAGTTTGAAAAATGTAAATAATTACAATACCTCATCTCAGAAATATAGACACATAAGCAACAACAGTTTTTGCAATTTTTAATTTGCCCATTGCACCTTTACTGATTCAGCACCTCCAAAATGAAAACAACTTTCAATCATGACTTCAAAAATAATTTTTTTCTTTAATTTTCTGAATTTGAGGAATTAAGTATGAGTCAGAGAAAATCAAATTATTTCATAACAGATCATTTCCATAAATAAACCCAAATAAAAAACAGACACATTGCTTTCAACTCCTGTTTGTTGTATGTACAGTGACCAAGTGATCAATTACATGTCATTATTTATCATTAATGGAAAGTAATGGGAAAACTTCCAGCACAAAACTCACTAGCCAGAAGAATGTTTGGTAATCACTAATCCCCAAGTGTTTTTAGAATGTAAAATAAGAAACACTAACTGCCTCTGTAATTCAGTACGTTATTTTCTGACACATCAACAGCGATTTGGGTCATGTGCATAAAGGTTTTCTTTAAAACAATGTTTTCACCAGAATTACTGGATATACAGTGATAATATTTCAGGTTACATAAAAGTATGGGACTCACATATTTTTCTTGATCTGCTCGACTCAAGATGTCATTCCTGTACTCCCACACTTCCATTATCCAATCTATTCTCATGATGGGGATGCCATAATTAACTGAAAACTGAAAATAAATAAGACAAATTTTTTTTTTTTTTTTTTTTTTTAATCGAAATCAAATGTAAAGCAAAATTAATGCTAAAATAAAAATATGACATTAAAGCATAATGACTTTTTTCTCAACATCTAATTCAGCATTAGTAACAATCCTACTGAGCTACTCAGTGTTAATACTATTTCTAACTGAAAGATGTATTATCTCTCACAAAGATAGTAAGGCTCACAGAATTTGCACACAGATTTAGTAGAAGTTCAGAAAAAGAGATTATGAATATATCTACTCAAATTCTTATGAAAAAAAAAAAATATATCCAGTAAATGTGCCAGTATAAGTCTTCTAATCATTTGCCAAATCTTTTATTCATGCATCAATTTTTATTTTTACTTAATAGTACAATTGCTGTACAAGTTAGTTTCTGTTTGATTTCTATTTGACTTTTTTCTCCTAAACCAGAAATAGAGCAAGAACAGTGCAGACTTGTTCAAGACCCTGGCACATAAAATGTCATCTTTATGATCAGAATGTGATCAGAGTGAGCAATAGGAATGCAGAAACATCTTTATCTAGGTTTCATAGATTACATAAAAGCATTCGATATAGTTCTGAAAATATTGGAAAAGTTTGATTTACAACCAGGAAGATATTAATGTAATCCATAATCTCTGTTGGGAATACACAGCCTGCATATGCATAAAGAACAAATTCATTTATACGTAAAGTGAAAGAAGAGGAAGACATGGTTACATTTTCTCAAACATGAATAGTGTAAGATGTCTTCCAGAAACTAAGCAAAGACCTAGAAATATAATAGTAGAAAACAAAAATGCTGAACTGCTATGAAATATATAATCTCCTATATGACAGTGAATGCTGGACAATTTTCTTGCAGACGAAAGTGACAGTTTGGTTTGTTGTGTCTTATGGCATATCAACCTCAATGGGTTATTTAATGCCGACAACTTTTTTCCCCTGGTAATATTTTGTTTTGTCAAAAATCTATTTCTGGTAATATTTTTTTTTTCAAAACTATATTGCTGGTAATAGTTTTTTTTCTTTAAAAATTTATTTCTGGCAATAATTTTTTTACAAAGTATTTCTGGTATTAAAACCTAGTTTTATACTTTTATAATGCTTTTTACCTCAATTTTGGGGTTAACTATTTGCCCATAGCTGGGACCCTAACAGGTGCTAGCACCCTGGGTCAGGGTGGACCTGGGAACATCAGCAATTAAGAGGTGGTTCCACGCTCCTCAAAACCTCCTGATCAGAGGTCTTGCTGTTGGACGCGGATGTAGTTTATCGTCATGCTCAGGATGAATGAAAGTGACAGAGATACAGTTCTACTAGTGGATGCTGAGAATACCATGAACTAAACATGTAAGCAATGAGGAAGCCTTAAGGAAAATAAGAACATCAAGAAACTTATACTTACAATTAGAAAGAGACAAAATGAAATTTCTAGGGCACATGAGGAGGAAAGAGGGCATAGAGAATTTAACACTCACAGGAGTGCAGGAGAAGAAATGGGGAAAGAACAAGGAACCTATGTGTTTGTGTAAATGGAAGGCAGAATATGGTCAAAGAAGGTTAGTAGAGTCAAAAATTATTTAGAGTAACAAAAGACAGCAAGTTGTGGAGCGCCATGATTTTCTACGTCAAAAAGTATTTGGTAGATAAAAAATAGTTTTCTGCATAAATGAAAGGCCATGCATTGACTCCAGAAAAACTAAAAAGCAACTTTACACACTGGAAGAAATATAATTTACTGGGAAGTTTCTTACAGTTCCCATGACTAGCACCTGTTAAAACTTAAATGCTATTCAGAGTTTGTAACAAGTTTTGTTCCCACCAGTGACATTGCAAAGTAAGGAAATAGTTACCAGACTGCTATAAGCTATAATGAAACGAACAATCTGTATAAAGTATAATAGATAGAAACATTTTTAATTTTTATCAATATGAAACAACAAAAATGCAAATTAAAAATACAGAAACACTTGGCCAATTGTAATTCACTATACAATTAGCTCACTATTCCAGTTGTCAAAGTGTAAATAAAAAAGTTTGTTATATTTCACTTTGTATATGTCAGAGTTGAAAAATTAATTGCTAAACTTACCCTGTATTTGTCATTTCCACAGCAATTGGCTACTAAATGTGTGACTTTTGGTGAAATTTCTTTCTTCACTATCCCATACATGTGATGAACAGTGTCTGTCAATTTGGCCTGAAATTGTAAAAATATTAAAAAAAAAAAAAAATATACAATTTTAGAGATATTGAATCTGCATGAATTAAGAAAATATATTCAGAGTGTTTAACTGAAATTTTGCAATATGTTTTTACTCTGCAAATAAGTCACATCAAACATTTATAAAGTGTTTAGCTATTACCAAGGGAAAAAAATTATATATATATTATGTATATTTAACGAATACATGTTATTGAAAACTTAATCTTTGTTCGTTCTTATCCTTTGCAACCAAATGCTCATTATAAATGGTGTCAGATACATTTGTGTGTGTGAGTAGCAATCAATGTGAGTTTTGTAAAGGTGTATTTAAGTATGTTCAAAGCATCAGAGGTATTAATACACCCTATGCTGATTTAAAAACTGTGCCATAAAGACAGATTATTATTAGATTAGTATTAGATGTTATGTTTTCTTGTTCTTTTCAAATGCAAAGAAATTATCAATGATAAAAAAATGAATTACCATTTTTTCTTTCTGTTTAATACCAGTGAAGCACAAAATAAGCTCACTCATGGCCATACAATAGAGGGGTCGACCATACTTTGGTAGAGGCTGAAATAGACAATGAACAAAAAGATAGTTAAAAAAAAATAAATGCATTAATTTTACTATTATTTTTCCTACTTATCTGTTACATTCAGGTTTACAGTTTACAATGCCTTAGTTGTAAAAAAAAAAAAAAAGCTATGTAAGTTTGTTATTGTTTATATAAAATACTAGCTGTTGCAAATATATTTCTATCTTTCCACCTCAGGCCCTCATATATCTTATTGAATAGTACTGATTTCTAACAGAATAATAAGATAAATACAAAAGAATTCTACTAACCAGATTATCACGGGCACATTTGATGATAACTGGAGGTCCCATGATTCTCCTGCCATTAGCATAGAGTTGTCGAAACACATGATCCGCAAAATTATCAAGAATAAAAATGTATTCACACGGAGAAGATTCAGGAATTTCTTGGCCAGTATCAGAATAAATAATTGGATATTTGAAATGCTGATCGGAAAAATAAAAACAATTGAAAATATTCAAGTAAATGAGTTATCAAAAAAAAAATATATATCATTCAGCACAAAGACGTTGAGTTTCTATTTTTCGTGAGTTATTCCCCTTGAATACAAACGAAAGAAAAACTATTCAATAAAATTGATGCAAGTGATCTTGACAAAACCCTCAACGTTATACTTAAAAAAAATATCTTTAAATTCCATTTTGAATAATTTATTTACAAAGATATCTTATTTTACATAGCATCAATTAAAAATAATAATAAAATTACAGAAAATGTAGTCTCAGTTTCAAGGAACTTACCAAGAATTTTCAGTTTTCATTAAGATTTATCATACAGCCCCTCCCATAATCACCAAATGCACTAATTCCATATTTGTAAGTTACCACCTGAATAATTTTTTTTAACAACTTATTTAGAGTAACATTGATTATTTGATAACTGATGATGTCAACTACTGGCAAACAATGATTTAACAGAAATGTAATTACAAAAGATTTTAATTTCTTTTAACTTGCACCTAAAACAGAACAATTTCCCCCATATACTTGGAATAACAATTATAAGAAGGGAAAAATTGTAAAGTGGAATAGACTGTCTCCTTACCTCCAGACATTGTTTAAGATCCTCATTTTGACGGCAACTTTCCCCAACAACAACAAAATTTATCTGTATATCTGTAGGAGAATATATAAGTAGAAAATTTAAATTCTGTAGTAGAGTTCCTTTAGAATTAAAATATGGATAAAAGTTTAAAGTATCAAAGAAAAATCTATATGCATAATTTAAAAATGAATTACATTACACATCAACAGTTTTATCAATATGATAAAAAAAAATATTCAATATTATTATGTTTGTACAATAATTGTCCCAATTAAAACAGAATTTTAATAATACAAGTAGAAATGTTTGAAAGAATCATACAAAAGTAAGTTCACAGATTTAGGGGCCTTGTGCCATCCACATAATTGAACAATATCCCCAAAAAACTTTCAACATTTTGATGCAATTTTTTTTTTCTTTTTAATTATTTCTTTAAATATAATGGCCAAAAGGTTAAGACACAAGACATTATGAGGTTTACTACCATGGCGAAGGTGATGAAAATATTTTTTTATCAAATGTTTATTGTTTGTCAATAAAGGAGATAACTTAAAGATAAACAAAAAAAAAAAAAAAAAAAAAAAAATGGCAAGTTCTTCCTAGTAGAAGAATGGAGGATAAACCTGAAATCGGTCTTTTGGGGAAAAAAATCTATTACATCGTCTCTTACTCTTACAAAATGCAGAAAATTCTTTGAATGAAAGTACCCTCTGTACTTTTGTGAAAAAAAAAAAAAAAAAAAAAGTACCCATCACTCCAGCATCACATTAGCTAATTTTAAAGTGGCCCCCATTGAACCAATAATTTGATCAAAATAATGAAATTGAAGAGGGTATCCGGAAATTGGTATATGGGTACTTAGACAAAACAGGTAAAACACTATTTGGTACCACTATTTGGTAAAACACTATTTGGTACCAGGATACTTATTGAAATTTCAAAATCAAACTGACACCACCCACCAGCAATGTGTTCGGTACCTTACTTAAGTATGAGCTTATTTGCTTAAAGGGCTGTCCCAAGTACAGTAGATGTGCAATTCATCAACACAGGAATACTGGACATGTGAATACAACCAATTACAAATATAGGTGGTGTTTTCACTAAAATATCCCCCAAATATTTTAGTACAGGTGCACAAAGCTACCAAATTTCTAGACAGGGTGGTGGGCCTCATATAATTTCTTCTAAATTACTAGTAGGATGGGTCTTAATAAAAGGAAAGGAGGAATTCAATTTTTTTTCTCTCAATATGCAATAAACAGAGAAGCCTTAATAAAGTGGGGATGAGAAAATCTTTTAAAAAGTCAACAGTGCAAAATTAATAAACAGAGTGGCCTTAATATGCTTGGGAGGGGAATTGGAAAATTTAAAAAAGAAAAAATTAGAAATATAGAGAGGTAAGTAATACTAATTCTTTTATGCACCCTGTCCCCTCAGGACATGGGCAATCATGACTCCACAATTTCTTGTCTTTTTTGGCTCTTAGTATGGTTTGCTTCTTTTTTTTTTTTTTGTATCTTTCCTTAGCCTTGTTCAGCAAAAGAATTACACAAGCTTTTTAGGAAGGTTATTTGCTGCTTTCCTCTGTAGTTCTTGCCTTCAATATGTCCTCCGAGTGTCAAATTCTCCAAGCCCTCTTTCCTCATTATGTTACCTAGAAATTTTGATTTACTCTTTCTGATTCTATGTAGAAAAATCTTTGTTTCCATTATCCCTAAAACTTTGTCATTACTCCCATGTTCAATCCATGGCATTCTTAGAATCCTTCTGTAGAACCACATTTCTGTTGCCTCAAGGCATTCATCTGTGAAGAGATTATTCAGCAGTTACTGCCACATAGAAGGATTGATATCACATAATATTTCAGTACTCTTTTTCTCCATTTCTAACAAAATTTTCCTATTTCATAATATTTTGCTTAGCATTTGGAAGGCATCTTTTGCTATTCCAATGCATCTTTGGATTTTGGTATCACATTTCCATCCTTTGCTAAAACACTTCCTAGCTATTTAAATTTTTGTACTTGCTTCATTTTGAGGTTTCCAAATTTTATTTTGCATATTGGATTTTGGCTTTTGCTGATAACCACATATTGTCTTCTTCAAATTAATGTTTAGTCCTTTCTTCTCACTTTCCTTTACAGTACTCTAGTTTCCTTCCTGTATCTATTATCAAACACTGTATCATCTGCATATCTAATGTTGTTAAGATTGTGATCATCAATAATGAATCCTGGTAGGACTTCAAATTCTCTCAGGATTGCCTGACTGTAATGGTTGAGAAGACACATCCTTATATTACACCCTGTTATTCTTCCTAAAACCAGATCATCATCTGATTCATGCCACACTAATTTCCACCACTGGCTGGATGTGAACACTGAAACCTAAGTTCCATCAACTGTGCATAGGCTCCGCACACAGCTTCCATTTTTTACTCACATGCTCAAAGAAAAAATAAGCAGTACAATCCAGAATTTCCCCCCAATAGCACCGACACCTAAAGAAACAAAATAAAAACTGGAGCCCATCTGGGCCTAAGAAAGGATATAAAAGTGCATCAAAGGGACATTTTGGCAGTTTGAATGCATCTTGACCCAGATTCACAAAAAAAAAAAAAAAAGAAAAAAGCAACCTCCCATCTCCAAAAGGCAACTCACCAAAGGTCATCACTACACTGTCACAACTTACCCTCCATCTCCTACCTTTAAAGAAACATTTACTCAGATTTATCATTTTTCATATTTTACGTTACTACAATTCTTTATTTCTTTAAACCTCTGTTGTTTCTTCTTTGTCCTGCCACCATACTCTATAACAACCCCTTTCTATTTTCATGTATTTACTGAGTTCATTTTCTATCCACATCTTGATGGTTTGTGTTTTATTCTAATATCTTAAATCAAGCTTACTTAGTAGCTCAAACAATTCCTTGTGCTTTACTTTATCAAATGATTTTGCATAATCTATAAAACATAGGTATACATTATCCTGCACTCATTTCTGAATAACATAAGAAGAAATCTTAAAACTTCTTTAAGTATCAAAAAAGTATTTGAAAAATATCAATTACTGTGAAATCTAGCAAAAATGTCAAACAGTTGAGCTCATTATATGATACAATACAAATAACTCACAACTTTATAAATGGGACACAGGAGCTTTAACCCTGACAAAAAATTTAAAAAAAAGTAAATTGTTTTAAGAGCAGATTTATCAATGATAAACTGTTCTGGTCTGATGAGAAGATTTGTTATGTTGTAAATGCCATGAATTCCTTACAAAAAGTTATAACAAACAAAAAGAAAACCTTTTCTATTTTCTCTTTACATGTTGATGAATTGTAAAATAGTTATTGCAAAAATTCTGAGCACTTTCAACATATTAAAAGAAGAAAAAAATAAACATAAATTTTAAAAAATTTGACAAAAACTAAAAGTGAAATTTTCAGAATTTATTCATTAATGAATAAAATTTATACTGAATTTACTTTTTTTTAAAGTTCTTTTAAAGTTTTTCAAATGTTCTACCACTTCTTCACTTAAATTGTGGCTAACCCATATTAGTGAATTTTTAAAGTTCCTAATATTTACAAAGCTAAATCAGCAGAGATGTTATATCATTAAAAAAAAGTAATATAAAACTGAATATATAAAAAATACAATCTTAAATGAATTCATTAAAACTTAAGTTATTTTTTGTGGAGTTACTGATACACAATTTAAATAAAATATACTGTATATTTTTTGTTTTCACAGAAAAAAAAATCTGATTGTGAAAAATTTAATATAAAACAAAAATGTAAAGTTTAATGATATTTTTAAACATGAACATTTTTTAAAAAGATATCAATTTATTTTTTTCATATTACAAAAATCAAAATTAAAACTAAATTATGCTATCAATTAACACACTTCCATTTTGAAGACAAAGCTATTGTGTATTTTGTTTATCTGTGTTTTCGGCTTGTTCTGCTGTTAGAGTTTCTTACATTCAAGACTTCACGAATTTAAAGAATAAAAGTAAATTGTTCTTTCAAGTTTTTTTTTTTCATTTAAACAATTTTTGGTCATAATTTATGTTTTCTGCTTTTGCTACATGTGGTTGTGAACTGAAGAAAATTTTGATATTTACTCAAAATAAAAATTGATTTCATTAAAATGAAAGAAAATGTAATTGTGAGCAATTCTAAAATTTACACTATGAAATAAATGTTTTATTTTACCTTTGTTGGTCCTGTTTGATTTATAGTGCAATTCTTTTAAAGTTGTGGGCAGTATTAACAGAACTACTATTTGCCTTTTTAATTTGACAAGCAAGGACATACTCATGCTGGGGATTTTTCATATTTTAAGCAAGTAATATTTTTTTACAAAATCCCTAAATTTATTATTATTATTTTTTTTTTTTTTTTCAAAACAGTTTGAATTTCTCTTTTGTTGGCATTCATCAAATTAGCTAATCAAACCAGGTGAAAGCATCTTTATTTGTACTTTCTGGTTTTAAAAATATCTAAAATATTTATTCAAAAATGTATTTTTTTTTGTTTTTTTTTTTACACATTAACTGCTACTATTTTTCTAATAAAACTAAAATTTAACTTCAAACATTTAAATTATTTAAAATGTGTTTAAGATTTTTTTTTTTTTTTTTTAAATAAGTATGTATAGGTATCACCTAGAAAGAGTTCATCTTGCTTTTGACAGTCATCACAAACGATCTGCAAAACTGCCAGAGAAATTACATAGGTATAGTTTTATCGTTATAGATATCAGCCACAATTCTGAAGCAAAGTGGTCCTATTAACTGTCCAACTAAAGTTTCTGATGATAATAAAGGAATAAACGGAACTTACAAAAGTTCACTGCCAATTTATTGATTACTTTTTTTATTATTATTATTATTCAAACACCATGTACTATCAGGATGTTACACAATTGTTTATTTGTACATGTCACCCAACGATATATCGTTTGTCAGTTGGGGGAAGTTGACTTTAGAGTGAGGATTCATTCAAAACGTACATCTTAATCTGAATTTACAAGTACTGTTCTTGTCAGTGTAATGTC